TGGATTAAGTACCAAAAACCACAACATTTTAGTGTCATTCCAAATTGGTCTCAACCTTTTGAAACATTCCAAACAAATACCTAGCCTATTGAAAATATCACATCCGTTAGGCCCCAATTAATTTTTCTATTATGTCATGTGGCAATAATGAATCCCACTTTTAAGCATACTTGGATACAAATAATGATAATAGAAAAAAATAAAAAAAGACATGAAGATGAAAAATAAAAAATAAAAAAATTCACAAATAAAATGAAAAACAAAAATAAAGCTCGGGAAATATCAAACTCCTTCCAAGCTCAACCTACGACCATTGGAACTTCATCCCAACCTTTATACTAGTATTTAAAGCTTTGGTTGCCTACTTGGTGGTTGGAAACTATTAAGTCCTAAGGTGAGTCAAATTTGATAAGGTGATTGGGGAGAAAGACTCAGAAGAGGGGAGAAAGAACTTAGGCTGATATTGATTTATCACCATCATAATCTTGATAATAAAGGAGAAAGAACAACCCGATCGAATAGAGGCCACCACCTACAAGATTGAATGTGTTTCTATTTCCAGTACTTCAAAACCTATGGTAAAGTTCCATGCGGATGATGGTGTGAAGTGGATACATTTCTTGACCACTCTCAGTTGCTATAGCATATTTGTTTTGCTCATGTGTTGGAGTGACCTTGAGTTGTAGGGTGGAGTTGGTGGTTGTGTATTGGGGTTGGAGGTGATAGCCTGATAGGGGTGATTGGTGATCGATAGTTGGTGGAGGTCATGCTTCTGTGAGCTTCTATTGATTTTGGATACAAAGTAAACCTTATTTAACAAAAATTTAACTGAAGCTTGACGAATATGACATTTTCAATAAGTTAGAGGATTTTAGGTCCTTAATTCTATATAATTAATAGTAAAATTTTCATTGATTTATTACTAAATTACCTTTACAATTAGCTATAAGAAAAGAAAAAAATAAATTCTGACGGTGAGAGAAGAGCTGTGGGACCCCAGAGCCGATGGTCTCAAAATGGTTCAAGCAAACGTTCAGAGTGGGACCCCAGAGCCCATTACGGTGTTGGGGCTTGGTCGGTGGTCTATGTAACTAAATCCATATAACTCAGTATTGATATTTAATGACAAAAGTGCCCTCCTCACTTTTGAATTATTATTTTTCTTTCGGGGAGAAATTAAATATTATGGCATATTTTGCCTCCCCTTGCGACGGACAAATAAATATTTAATAATTTAATGAACAATAATTATTTTAATATTCAAACGAAAGCTAAAGTTATAAATAATAAAAAAATGTTTAATTTAATCAAATATTATGCTGTGATTGAGAGTTAACAAAAGAAAAAATAAAACCTTCAAGTGCAAACCTACTCCTATATTGTCTGCTTGAGTAGTAGTTAATTGGGGGAATAACTGAATATGCCATGAGGAATCAGGAATCAGGGTAATAAGCCATGAGGTGTAAGTTACATGAAAATTTTGTTATAACATAATGCCTTCAACAATAACGGACTTATTTGGAAATATTTTAAAAAATGAAAAGTGTTTTTCGTAAAAATATCTTTGGAATCAATTCTAAGTAAAGATGCAAGTGCTTTTTAAAATTCAAAAATATTTTTACCAAAAACATCTTCAATCACTTTAAATGTATTTTCAAACAAATCCAATATGTTATCCGTGTAAGAGTAAAGGGGTGACACGCCAAGGGCTTTAAAGTTTTAAACCTTGAAATACAAGATTATTAAGTGTCACGGGAAAGAACATACATATCTCAAATCTATTTACACAGTGTCATATGAAATTGTCAAAAACTTGGTGTCGTGTGATGGGATTGAAATACTGTCATCATGGCTCTCATAAATTTTATGAATGTAAAAAAACAAGAAGTTGTCCCAAAAAATAAAAAACCATTTGATTGCATAATTATGCTTTGGGCAGTACTATTTACACACTGTTTTTTTATCGTTTATACACAATTTTTAATTTTCAACTGGCCTATAGATTAAATTGAAAATAATCAAATAACAAAACTTCAATTAGAACTTTTCCAACTTCCGTGCACCAACACAAATAAAGGGTCGAAGAAGTCTAGAAACAAAAATAGACCGCTTATATATATATATATATATATATATATAAAGGGTCGAAGAAGTCTAGAAACAAAAAATAGACCGCTTATATATATATATTTATATTTATAGCCATATTACTATTTTTTGACAATTGTTGGTCTATGTATGTGAATGTCATACTTTCTTTGGAGAGGTTACTAATTTTGACAATTTAGTGAATCTAGTGATGATTAGTATGCCATTAGTGTAGATTTTTGAATTTGGATCCTCGTTGAGGATTCCAGGAATCCGTGAATTATATCCGTTTATTGTATATCATGCAGTTATGAATCATTTTAAATATTTTTATTTAAAATTAAATACAAACAGTACTTGATAAAAACTGACTGCACAATATACGATGAACGGACACAATTTACGGATTTCCAGAATCCTCACCAAAAGTATCTAGAGAGGATCCTGTTGGTAGATTTTTAATACCCACCTACAAAATAAAAACTTAAACTTCTCACCTATTCATTGTTGCATTTGAAAAACCTACAACAGAATTAAACCTCCGTGTTCATATAATTAATTTAAACTATCAACTTGTCTTTGACAGTGAATCTTTAATTCAAATTATGTTTTTCCTCATGATTTTTATGTTTAGTTGTGTGACCCGATCGTTCCCGTTAACCAAAGTATGAGACTTTCTTAACGGCTCTGAATTAGTTACTGTTTTAATTGTTAGATCTTTATTTAAAAATATAAAAATTAAAATCTAACGTTAAAATACCTAGAAGTATCAAGTACTTTGGAGTACAGAAGAATTTTTTTTTCCAATGTACTCCTTATGATACTTATTCATTTGAATAAAGTGTCTAGCGAAAACAAATATGGATGAAAAGATTAAGAGCATCTCTAATGAGTTCATTAAATGGGTTTAAAAAGAGAAATGAGGAAGAAAATAAACTCAAATCATGTTCTATATCCACCTTCTAAGATAGGCATTCATCGAGAAGCTCCTGAGTATAGGAATGGAGAAATGAGCTTGGATGGTCATTGTTTTGTTATTTTAAATAAATAAATAATTTTTATTTGCTAATTATTGACACATAGTCATTATGATTCTCCAAAATATGGAGTATGGTTGAAGTACGATTTGTTTTTTTAACAAACGATATTATCTACAAAGAGTGGGCTAAACTTCATAATGAGCTAGCAACAAGCTAAAATTTGTTATAAAATAAAGAGCATGATTATAGATGCTCTAATAAGATATTAGTTTATTTCATCTTTAATGAAATTTTGTAATACATTTTGAAAGATATGACTATTATTGTATTACATTATATTAATAACATTTGAGAATTGTTATTGGCATTTCAAAATCTTATTTTGCACTCAAAACTTTATATAATTAAAAAGATAAAATACACTTGTGAGGAGTGTAGAATGAGATTTTTTAAGAGTTCATAATAGTTCCCTAAATTTTTTGTGGTATATCAATAAATAAGTTTTTTGAGCCCTTATTTTATGGTAGGATTTTAAAAATATTCACATATTTTATTTAGGCTTATTAATTAATTTGCCCCTAAAATTGCTATTTAGTCTCGCTTTACCTTCTAAAAATTGGTTTTGTCTCACTTTGTCCTATGAAACTGTCATTTTTGTCTTACTTATTCTTAGTTCACCCAATTTTTGTCCATTCTATCAAATAAATGCTAAATTAAAGGATAGTATGGACATTTATTTTCGACCCAATTTTTAATAACTATAATTCAAACCTTGTCTCTCTTTCTTAAGGATTGATACAGAGTTGTAGTTGTAGCTGTTGGATTAATGAGTGGCTTGAATTAGATTTTGAAACACAACCCATTGTTTGCTTTTGCCAACAACTGCAACTACAGCTCCACACCAATCTGCAAGAGAGACTTAAGGGGGTTTGAATTAGAGTTATCGAAAATGGAATCAGAATTTTTTTAGCATGCAAGTTGGAGGCAAAGAGTTGTACAAAAAATAACATGTCCATACTACCTTTTCATTTAACAGCTATTTGACGAAATGAATGAAAATGGAGTAAATTGAGACTAAATGATACAAAATGGGGCAAAGTAAAATGAAACCAATTTCAAGAGGTAGAGTGAGACTAAATGACAGTTTCATGGGGCAAATCAATTAATAAGTCTTTTATTTATGTGACACCGATTCATTTTTATTTTACTCCTATAAATTGATGAAATGACAAAATGATAACGCATAACTATACACGTGTTATGCAAATAGAATAGGAGCTGAACAACGTGTTCATATTGAATTAGTTGAATCATTACGTACGTCAGAAACTTACTATTTTCAATTTAATTTTGACACAACGTACATTATAACAGAAAAATCAAATCTCTTTTGTTTATATTCCACCGATTCATTTTTATTATAAATTAATGAAATAAAAAAATGATAACACTGAACTATACACGTGTTATGCAAATAAAATAGGAGCCAAACCACGTGGTCATATCGAATTAGTTGAATCATTATGTACGCCAGAAACTTACTATTTTCGTTTTAATTTTGACATAACGGAGATTATAACCAAAAAATTAAATATAAAAGTAGGAACAAATAGTTTACTTAAACTATTGGAATAAAGAAAAAGTATAACACTTGTATCTAAAATCTTCTCATTGTATCAATGTAGTCTTATTTTTCTACTACCTAATAGGAGTGAAAAAGAAAAAAAATGAAAAGCAATTAGTTGAAAAAAATAAATAAATAAAAGAGGGAAAGAGCCAAAAAAAGAATAAAATCCACGTATTGTAAGTGGAGGGAGGGAAGGAATGGCGTTTTGGTCATTCCGAAAACAACCATCTTCTTTTTCCGCGTTCCGAAAGAATAAAAAAGGCGAAGAAATGATAACAAACAGCGAAAGAAGCAGAAGAAGGGAAAGAAAACCAGCAACAATACCAACAAGAGAGAGAGAGAGAGAGAGAGAGGAGAGAGAGATTGTTAGAAAGTGATCGGAGGAGAGCCCAAAACAAAATAATGGAGAGGAAGACCACCGAACAACACCTCTGAACGATAAAAATCTCCGTCGTCCTCAGCCCCTCAGGGAGGTGGTAGCAGAAGAAGAAGAGAGAGAAAACAGAGCCCCCAATCTTCAACCCTCTATCCCTCTCTACCTACCATCTCTCCTGTTGTATTTTCATTTTCCAAATTCCAAAATTCCAGATGCGGCGAGGAGGCAGAGCCACTGCGGCTGCTGCAGCAGCAGCAGGAGTCCAATTATGCAAGCCCAAGACGGCGGTGGCCGCGGCGGTACAGGAAATTAGATTCCGGGGCGTGCGGAAGCGACCGTGGGGCCGATTCGCCGCCGAGATCAGAGACCCGTGGAAGAAGACTCGGGTCTGGCTCGGCACCTTCGACTCGGCCGAGGACGCGGCCCGGGCATATGACGCCGCCGCTCGGTCCCTCCGGGGGCCCAAGGCCAAGACTAATTTCCCTATCCCCGCCGAATACGACAACAACCACCACCACCTACCTCCTCCGTCCCATCTTTCTCTCTACCCAGACGACACGGTTTGCGATGTCGTCCAGGCCAGCCGGCCCACCTCCAGCAGTCTCAGCAGCACCGTCGAGTCCTTCAGTGGGCCCCGCCCCCGGCCTAGGCCCACATCCGACCCCCAGCCGCAGCGGAGACCGGTGCTCCCGGTTTCCCCCGAGGACTGCCACAGCGACTGCGACTCCTCGTCATCTGTCGTTGACGACGGCGATGATTGCGTCCTGATGTCGTCGTTCCGGAGAATCTCGCCCCTGCCGTTCGATCTCAACCTGCCGCCGCCGATGGACGGCCTCGATTTATTCAAATCCGGCGACGACGATTACGATCTTCAAGCCACCGCTTTGTGCCTCTAATTACAATATGGATCTCAAATAATGGTCCCCTCTTCCTTTCCCTTTTGCTTTTTTCTGCCTTATTTTCTCGGGAAAATTTCAAAAAAAAAAGGAAAAAAAATTGATGCTTGGTGGTTGAGAAGAAGAAGAAGAATTTGAGTTTTTTTTTTAATTTTGTTTTTTTATTTAAATTTTCTGCCATGTTCGAATATTATGGTGTAGAATAGCATCTGGGTTTCTCAACTTGATGGGTGTTGGAATATTCTCTCTGTATGGTTGAAGCTGCTAATGTTAGATCTTTGTTTACCCAGCTACCCAGCAAGCACTAGATCTGATCTGGGTTTTTGCCCTTCCGATCAGATTCCTCCATTCCCATCTTTGTTTTCTTTTTCCTTTTTCTGTACAAAACATTATCTGAATTTAGATAAAAAGAAAAGCTTTCCATTTTGTTTCGTTCTTCTATTTTCTGATTCACTCATATGGGCTTGTATTCATTTTGCATTGCATTCCATGGTATATGTTAGAAATGATAAACGCGTAGCAGACGTGGGTTAGGTCAGTTAGTCTTCGATTTTCAATCTTTTTTTCCCTTAATTAAGTAGAATTAACAGACGTGAATTAGATCAGTTAGGCTTCGATTTCAATCTTCTTTTCCCAAAATTAAGTAGAATTAACAGACGTGAATCAGGTCAGTTGGCACCAATCGATCCTTTGTTTTCTTGTACTAGGGAAGGATTAGAGTACTTTATAGCCTTGTTACAAAGGGGTAGGCATATTTCTAGTTTGTTCTTGTAAATAATGCATCTAAAGATTAGAACAAAGTGGATTTAGGTTTGTGAAGTTTGTAGATGGAGATGGGGGATGAACACAAATAATCATGAAAAGGAAAAGGGAAATTTGGATAGGCGGTGGGTGGGTGGGTGGATGGATGGATGGATGGTGGAGATTGTTTGGTGAGAGAGGGGAAGAGAGGGCAAATGCAGGTTTGATGATGGACAGGGTTTATGATAAGGAGCATTGATTGCACATGGGATGTAAGATTCTTATTGTGCACTACTGGTTGAGTATATGAATTATCAAATGGGCAAAAATATTATCCCCCAAACCCCAAGGCCCTGCCTGCCTGCCTGCCTGCCTGACTGCCTGCACAGAGTGCACCCTTCCCTAGCTACCTATCTAAAGCTTGTTTAGCTTAACACAATATTTTCTGAAAGGTCGGGCTTCCACCCACATGCCCTTCTTTCTTTTCAGTCACCTCCACAGGTGAAAGAAAAGAAAAAGAAAAAGAGATTATTTATTTGTGTGGAGGTCTCCGTGCATGTGAGTTGCATGGTTGCAAGAGCTCCCAAGAGGCTTTGCTTCTCTATTTTCTACTTCCACCTTACGTACGTGGAACGTTGTTGTAACAATATTTCAACCTAATTGCATATTATTATGCGGTAAAGTTAAAATGCATGATAATTTGTATTCAGCGTTCGGTTCTGGGTAAGTTGTAATAATCATCGTCTGATTCTGGATAAGTTGCAATATTACGGTTGTGGAAAAAAAGGATATAATGTGGAAAAAAGGTATAATACGTGACATGATATGATTACATTTACATGTATGTTTCTCCCATGGTGTCGACATATGGGTACATGTGTGTTTCTCCCATGGTGTTCTAAAGTATTCTAGACTTTGGAGTTGTTATCTGTTGGTCATTGTATCTTTGACCAAGATCTAACATAATGCGAAAACTCTAGAGTACAGTAGAAAATCTCCAGAGTAAAATAGAAATCTCTTGATAATCGTTAGCAATTTTTCGTTAATAATCCAGACTAGTCAGTAATACGAGAATTAAACAGTGAGGATCGAATTAATGAAATACTGTTTTGCTTTCTTTTTAACCTAATGAATATAATGTCGGATTCCTCAATAATTCAAACTATTGAAGACCTACCCATTCTTTTGTTCGGAACATCTCTTTAGTTGGACATGAGATGAACTTAAGTTGCTTATTCATCTTTGGATTCGTTTTTGGTGCGGGAGAGTAGTTTGATTCCGCTTGTTGATCTTTGGTGGGTGGTGGTTGTTGGAGAGACGTGGCAACTGGTCTTGTCATGTCTTGCGTTAATGATCTCCCCTTTTGTAAAAGGAACCAGATTGTCTGCCTCCTGTTATGGTGTCATTCCCATCCTCTTCTATTTGTGTGGTTACGGTTAAGTCACGTAAATATTTTATATTGATTGTTTTTATAGAGATAATAAGAAAAAAAAAACAATAAGAATATAAAATGTTGGCGTGGCTTAACCGTGACCGTATAAATAAAAAGGAATGAGAAGGGCACCATAACAGGAGGGTGGACAATCTGCCTCCTTTGTAAAAAGGACTTGTCCAGTTGGAAATTTCTGGCTTTTTGTTGGGAATGTGATTATTTCTAGTGAGAAGACTTCATGATTTTGTTCTAAATTGAACATTCTTTATCATCATTTTCTATATTTCTTCCTTTTTCAAATTACAAAATAAGTTTAGAATCTTTATCCTCTTGCAATTTTTTTATGTATCGATGAATATCGTACCATTTTTAAAACAAAAATTAAGATAAACTTCAGGTACATAAAATATCGAACTGCATATAAAACCCAAAATGTAAAATGATAAAAGAAGCAATTTTCACATTACTTCTCCCTCCAAGAAGAGTGCAGAAGGATAAAACACGTTAAATCAATATCTGTGCCCATGTATGAGCATCTCCATTGATCCCTTTTTTTAACGTTGAAAATTCCGCGGTCTAGATGAAAGGACCATTGGAAATCCAATGGTCTACTATCAAAATTTTTAACATAATTAAAATTAGACACACTTAAGAAACTTAAAAAATTCAATCGTCTTCTTCAAAGAACAAACTTACTAAGTACACAATTACAAGGTGCAAAATATTTTAAAAAAAAAATTGTCAACAGTAACTGCCTTTGTCCTTCCTCTTTCCAAATTGCAATAAAAAATTACTATTTAGAGTGAATAGTAAAGACAATTTCCCCGCTTTACTCTTGTCTTGTCCTTGTCTTCCTAAAACGAGCCAAGGTCTATTAAAAAAAGTATCCATATGATCCTACAAGGAAGTACAATTGTGTCTTCACTAACTAACCGCCGCCAAAATAAGAAATTAAGAGACGCATGCAATCGCTCACAAATCATACGTACAAATTAAATCGTAACGTTTTTACGCCCCAATGGGCTTCCACACTAGCCTTCATTACAATCACCAACGCAGACAAAATATGAAATAACACACTGATATTTCCTATAAAATCGTTTAAACTAAATTCCACGCAGGATTTAGGGGAAAGTTTGTTTCAAGTAGCAATATTGTGACGGTGTATCAAGGGAAGCCGTAGCATCCGCATTAGACTTCGTCGTGAAGTTGATAGTGCTTTTCATGTTCCTAAAGTTGCCAACAAAGAACTCTAAAATCTTCAACATGTGTGCACCAAGACGTTTTCATACTTCGGAGTTTTCACATACATTGGGAACTTTGGTGTGGAGTAGTTTTAGTTTATTTTTATTAAATTTTTTGGATAAAGAGTGTCACTATGTCTAGTCATTCAATTAATCTTCGTAATTGAAATTGAATGGTGTGGGTCATCGTCTCTCTTGAATTTCTTTACATAATTTTTTCTAGTTCGCTTAGGGTTTTATCTCTTACCACGAACTTTTGTTTTATGATAAATATTATGGGAGATTTATGTTAAGTTACATAATAAGTCAATTATAACTTGGTACTAAACTTGTTTTTTTATGAAAGTTGAACGTGAGACTACCCACATGTAAAGAATATTATGTTAAGAACTGTGAGTAAAATTTAGCATGTCAAATTGTGCATGTGATTTCAATGCTATTAGTTATGGGCCACTAATTGAGTCTAAAATGTTGACAGAATATCACTAAACTCCAAAGAGTAATGCTAGGTAGACTAACATTTTAGACTATATTTCCAAAGCATGTGATGTGTCACAAATAGGAAATAAACACGTTAATCAACACGCAAATAATAATCTAATCATCAACAACCAAGTCATATGGTTTACAAAAAATAATTTAAATAGATGGTCTCTTTAGCATTACCCAACTTAAAAATAAAAATTAAACAATTCTTTTATGTTGCAAAGAAAGGGAGTAGGATTTTTTCATCTCCAAATTCTTCTCTTTTTCAATCCCCTTATATTGAAACGTTCACGATTAACTCACGTTAATATCTGATATTGACTTCTGTATAGAAAAAGAAAAAGAAGAAAGTAAACGAGAGGCGAACTGGAGGGGAGAAGATTTGGAGAGATAAAAATCTACTCCCAAAGAAAAACTCGAGCTCGACTAATTGAAGGGATCAATGTAAATTGCGATGACAAGTGACCTTTTACCATAGTGGTGAAAAAAAATTGAATCTTTGCATAACGACATGGATTTAAACTCCTTCGTAACTAATTTAACATTTAATCTAACAAAATATATCGTTTGATAAAAACAAAATGTAAACTGTGATGGCAAGCCATGCACATGAAACTTCCATATATGAAAGCTTTGTATGGCGCAAGTCAAAAGTAGTGGCGAGCACCGCGCACTAAGCCATTTTTATTCAAACCAAAACTCGTCTTTTTATGACTTATTCATATATTTGTATAAATAATTTATTTCGGTTTCCGTAATAAAACAGACTGAAAGTGTTAGATATTTTAATTTTTTAATTTTTTAATTTTCTATTAATTATGTGAGAGTGTGACTCCTTCCCCATTCGTTAGTTTCGTTTTGTGTATGACTATGGAGTTTATTTATTCATTAGCACATATAAAAAAGAAAAACTAATGAAAATATTTTAAAAATTTTGATTTTTAACGATAAAGATAAAATAAAGGATAAAGTGAATAGTGCTAAGATTGACTTTTTAGTATAAAATTGTGGTTTTTTGTTAAAGTGAACAGTATCGGGAGTTTTTCGTTAAAGTTCCCTATGAAAAATCTTATTTTAATCTACTTGTTACAAAAGTATAGGAATGCAAGGAATTAGGACATCATTTCTTCCTTCTTTTATATATATATATATATATATATTTTTTTTTTTTATACAAAGAAGAAATACAAAAAGGTAAATATTAATTTGTAGAATGGATTAGGATGTTGGATTGAATTGGACTACAATTCCATTTGGTTTGAAAATGATACTATTTTTATTCCAACGATGATCTTGGTGCTGTGTATGATTCCGGGAGATGAATTTCAAACGCCTCTTTTTTTATTTTATTTATTTTTTATTTTTTATTTATGGTCGTTAATTGAATATATCAAATGGAACAACGAATATGATAAAACAAGAATATGTTAAAGATAAAAATCGTGCATGTTTTTACATGATAAGATTATATTGAAATTGTCGCAAATAATATTATCACCCATGACTATAGGTATCCTACAAGAATTTACATGATAAGATTATATTGAAATTGTCATAAATAATGTTTATTATGTGACGGTTGACTTCTGGGTTAATGTGTGGCATGCTTGCAAATGTATTATCGAAGGAAAAGTATTTTGGACACAAGTCTACAAGACAATCAAAATCCAAAAGAAAAGGAAATACGTAGTGCGCTGATAGAATTTAAAAATACACCAGTTGGTGATTTTATCACGGCAGGGAACAACAAAACTCATAAAAGTATTCAGCCTCTTTCCCTGACTAACATGGTGTAATTCATTTTCCCTCTTACTTTTGATATCACGCTTTATTTGATTGCTGACGTTTTTATTAGTATTCAGCATATCAATTGGGACTTAAAATAATATAAATTATTCAGTTTATTGATTCTCAGTTCTCATCCTGAGTGGGAGGTTTATAGCACTCACATATGGATTATCATTGATCGGTGAATATTCAAGGGGAAGCGTTGTAAATAATAGCTATTATGTGGTTGTTCACTCTTGATCAGTATGTATTATGTAATTAGATACGATTTTTTCTATATAAATCTTAAGCCTATAAATAGGCACTCTAATAAGAAGAAAATGACACACAGATTTATCCTCCCAATCTTTCTTATCTCTCTCTGTTGCCTCTTCCTCTAACCCTCTATTTCTAACAGAAATTAAATTTTACTCAATCTTTATTTATTTTTAAGTACCAAGTTAAGTTGAATGTTTGACGATAGGATACTGTTTGTACCAAATTAAGTTGAAGTTGCTATGAGGGATTTTTAGGCTTATAAGGCTTGGATAAAAGTTACTTTCTATGGTACAAGCTACTATTAAAAAGATCATTTGGACTCTCTTGTTTTGGCTTGTCGAGAGTTTTTTTCAAAATCTTGGGAACGCGAGATACATCATGTATGGAGAAAAGTATTTGTTGTTAATAGTCAGGCAAACTATTGTCTCGCTTTTCTTTTTTGACAAACAATAGTATTAGTGAGTTAAATTGTTAGTTGTGGGGAGGGAGATCGATGGGGATTGAACCCGTACTAGAGTGTATAGGCATGATCGCTTTCCACCATTGCGGTAAAGCGTCATCTGCAACTAGTGTCTTGCTTTAGATGTAGGCGATTCTCACGTTAATAGTTCTCCTTATTTAGACAGGTTTTTCGTGTGAATCAACTAGGAATGTCTAGGTGTGAACTTATTGTCGCTTAGTTTTGTTTGGGCTCCTAGTCATGTTTTCGACCAAATAAGAGTTAAACTAATCCCTTGACCTAAACCTATACTCTTTTTCTTACATAAAAGCGGTAATTGTGAGGGATAATTGAACTGAAGACATCAAATGCAAAAGTGAACACTCTTTAACTATTTGACGTACAAGTCCGTTTCAGACGAGACATGAATTGGATACAAGTTGCCCTTAGTTTGTTTGAACAAGCAAAGTGGGCTTGACAAGGGTCAATAGCCCAGCCCAGACTGATGGTAAAATCTTTCTAAACTTTGGAGCCCAAGTTGTCCCACTGGTTTTGCTTTTTTTACAAGGTATGGACTCTACGGAATCCCATCTGATCTGACCAATAAAAAGCCGCAAAAAATACAACAAAAGAAGAAGGAGAAGCTTTTCAAGCTTTTGCCTCCATTTTCCCCAGAAACTTCGCGGTGGGCATCCCTAGCATGCGCCATGCAGCGCCTTAGAAGCTCAGGGACCGTACTTTCGCGCTCGCAAGCCATAACCCAGTTGAGGAAGAAAGCTTTCAGATCATGGGCTGCCGTCCAGGACACTTATTTTTCCACAAAGGTGCTTGCTTTTCGATTTTTCTCACACATTTTTTGGGGTTTCTGGGAGTTTGAAGTTGTGGGCATCGATTGATTTTTCATGGGTTGTGTTTAATTCTGATGGGTTTTTTGGTTTTTATTTTGGTGAATGTTTTAGGATATATTTGAAAGCCATAAGGTGGTATTTACAGTTGGAACTTCCATTGCATCAGTCGCCACCGCATGGTTTGGTGAGTTCTTGTTTGGCAGCTCTTTAATTTCTCAAATTTGCTTTGCTTTTCTGCATTGTGTTTGTTTGTGATCACCAATTAATCTTCAAATTGATAAACGGTGTGTAAATGATTAGTATTTTGCAACAAATTTAGAGTGATGAATACAAGTTTAGCTAACTCTATGATAATTGGAGTGGCATTTGGCGGTCCACTTTAGTTGCGGGTTGAAATATTCGCAGACGGTGGGTGCAGCGTAATTTGTTTGAAATCCTTAGTTCAAGTTAAGGCATGTATATGTAACCTGCAATTTGCTGATTGTTCTTTACCCTACAAACCCACGGTATTCCCATCTTATTCCAATAAGTTGTGAGGTATAATGTGCAAATTGTAGGGCACATATAAAGTTCCCTTCAACTAACCTTCACAGGACAGGGCAAATAAGTTATGTAAGCTTTAGGGGTGTGAGTGTGACTTCAGTTGGATCTTCAACCGGAGCTCTGGGTCATTCAAACATATTTCATATGTTTACCAAAAGTGGGTATGAATTTGTAATCCGAATTAGAAGTTGGGATAAACACGGAGTGTAGGATGCAAATTTCAAAAACACAATCCTTCTTAGTCATAGATGTTCTAGTTCTAGATTCTGTGAGGTGCTAAACTTATGAAGTTCCGATATAATCATTTGCGGTTTATGTTGTTCTTTGACTAAATTGTTTACTTATAACTAAAGATTCGTTATAATCTAAAAAATTTGGTTCACTAATGCATTAGGGTGCAAAAGTTTTGTTTCAACTTAATTACTGTTGTCTCTCTCAGTAATATGCTCAAAAACATTTTCTTATCTAATAGACTAAAGCTCATCTGTTGTGGGTGCAGGCTATACTCTACGCCACGTACATGTATCAAGAGTTGATCAAAGGCTCGAATCAATTGAAAAAGCTGTAAGTACAAAGTCTCATTGAAAGAAAAAGAAAACGACAATATTTTCTATTATCCATGTCGTGTATTCTTGTTTTCATCCCATTTATGTTAATGATTTTGACAGTGGGATAAGGCATCATGTGCGCAAGCTCTCACTCTTAATTTGTAATTAAATTTTGGTTAATGCTATTGCTGGTTATGCTGGTTTGGTATTGCTGTGCTTTGAAAAAAAGCTGCTGTGAGAATAAGCGGCTGTGCTGTGAGAATAAGCGGCTGTGAAATAAAGCCAGTAGAGTGTTTGGTAAACTTTTTTGTGAAAGTGCTTTTGGAAAAAAAATCAGGATGATAGTGTGTCTTTTCATTAAAGGAGCACTGTAACTCCGTGTGCTTTGAAAAAACTGGCTTTTTTTCAAAGCAGCAAATAGCAGCTTCAGCTTTTCTTTTGATTTTCAGCTTATTCTCACAGCAGCTTCCAAAATAAGCTCTTTTTTTTCAGTTTACCAAACACAAAAATGACCCTCAGCTTTTTTTCACAGTGGCTTTTTTTAAAATCACCTCAATCCCAAACGGGGCCTAAGGCTCCCCCTTCTTAATTATCTGTTTATGTTTGTTACATTTGGAGATCTGTTTCTGTTTTTGTGGCAGATGAAAAACAATCATAATCTAGAACAGTCAGAAATTAGAAACATCATGGATTCTGGAACTATAGGTCTTCCTTCATGCATAGCCACTGCAGGAACCACTTTAGTTATCGGGTTTGTACTTCTTTCTAAATTTTTTAATATCCATGTCCGAAATATAATTCCTGCTTTTCTTGTTATGAAACTACAAGTATCAATCTGTTCATGCATTATACACTGACATCATTTTAACCGAACTGCAGCTATGCTTTGGGTTGGCGAGGTGGAAGGTGGTATGCAAATAGGAAGTTCAGAAGGGAGCAGATGAAATTGCTAGGGCAAATTAAACCGAAAAGGTGGCCACTGCTTAGGCGGATAGAACCTAAAGCATGGCAATTCCAATTTCTCAGAAGACCGCTAACCAGACCGAGAACACAAGATAATCATGTCAAAACATCGGAAAAAGGATAAAAAGGCACTCATGCTCCACATAATTTGGAGAATCCCATCTATCTTGTTAGCAAGCAAGCCTCGTGACAGGTTTTTGTTTGCTGAGAAATCCTGAAGGAAAACGGATTGTTGATATAGTTTTATACCGAGGCTTTTTGTACTGGTATTTATTTGGACGGGAAAAATGAAATTATCATAATCGTATGAAGGATTGTGAATCATATGTCAATGAAACGTTTTATAAAACTCTTGGAGTCTCGAATTTGGTATCCTATTGTCATGCGATTGACATTTATAGAGTTCAACAAGCAATTGAAATTTCACGGTCGAGGGTGTGATTTTCATCCTAGTTATTGCACATGGAACAATATCTTAGAATTGTGAGAGATGGGGAAAGAAACACTTTGCTTAAGAAAACCATTTTATGTTAACGACTATAATACAGGTTGTATACACTTGTTATTTTGTGTCACCTCATTGGAGAGACAAAAAGAACTGGTGTATACAACTAGTGCACCTAAGTTCTTCTCCCGGAAATGCAGCGTTGGAGGTTTTACCCCGTTGGCTAAACCGGAAGAAAGTGTTTGAGCTCTTGTTGGGTTTGGTAGTTTATACCCATGAATGTAGTACATTCTGTGCCTCCGTTGGCAGTACGTCTTCATCTTTTACTAATTAGACAAAAGAAACAGTGACAACATATCAGTCCCTGGGATGACGATGTTTTGGTTTTACATACTTGGATTAGATTTGGATTTATCAATGAAATTCTTGTTAAATTAGGGAATCGTGGCAGCGACGAAATCTAAGGTTAATAACGTTCTTAATTGTATTTAATTAGTGAAAACTAGTGCTCCTTCAGCATTAGATGCCTTTGTTGAACCTTAGTTTAATCCATTAAGCAATTTGTATTAGCTCATGTGAACACCCCAGTTCTGTTTTTATCTGGTTTTTTCTGTACTATAAAAATGTCAGAACCTCCAAAGGCGATTTGTACCAGGAAACGATTACTAAACCTATGAAGATGTTGGCTAATAAGATTTTAAGCTGTATTGTTGTAGTTATTCTTGTCTGTGAGTCCGTAGTTGGAACCAGAACAAAGTTGTTCGCAGCTAACAAGGTGCAGGATGCTGCTTCTGCATTGGCTCCGTCTCCCAGTGATGACGGAATCTGTGCAACAATGGTGGCAACACAAGGCTATGCTTGTGAAGAACACACGGTGACATGCCCACATTTTTCGCTCCTCAGTTTGTCAAGAATTTCGAGTCACGGCAAACACTGACTGATGTAACTTGGTTTCATTTTTGGGTCGTGTAGGTGACAACACAAGATGGATACATTCTCAGTATGCAGAGAATTCCAGCAGGGAAGTCAGGGGAGGCGTCGGGGAATGGGGTACCAGTACTTCTGCAACACGGTCTTCTGATGGTTAGTAATTCTGTGCGGTAGTTTTCAGTAGGTTCAGTAAATTTGGAAAATGTAACAGTTTGTTTATGTGGTTTGTTGCGCAGGATGGGATAACATGGCTGCTGTTACCTCCAGGCCAATCTTTGGCATTCCTCTTAGCTGACAACGGGTATGAGGTGTGGATTGGGAACACCCGCGGAACCAAGTACAGCCTCGGACACACATCACTCAGTCCTGATGATCGGGTAACTACTCTGTTCTCCTGAATTTCATGTTTGGTTACATCCAACAACATGAAAATACTCAATAAAACATGTTCACGAGCCATTTTGCTCCTTTCCAGGCTTATTGGGAATGGTCGTGGGATGAACTCGTCGCTTATGATCTCCCAGCTACTTTCCAGTATGTGCGCGATCAAACCGGACAGAAAATTCACTATGTTGGACATTCGCTGGTGAATATCACAGACTCTGCGGCTTTCTTCTCTTCTGCAAACATTTTAAAAGATATATTAAACTTTTGGCAGAGTGTTAATAATATAAACATAGCAATTAAACGACGGATTTATTTTGCAGGGAACATTGGTTGCTTTTGCTGCATTTTCCAAAGACATGCAGCTGAAGAACTTGAGATCAGCCGCCCTACTTAGCCCGATTGCTTACCTTGGTCAGATGCCCTCACCCCTTGCAAGAACAGCTGCTGAAAATTATGTTGCTGAGGTAAAGAACACTTCCTTTTTTCTAGCTGTTTTAGTTTCTTAACAGAATAACTCTTTGACAACCTATTTTCTTCTTTTAACAGGCACTATACGATGCAGATTTTAGACAATTTGATCCAAAAGGGTAACGATTCTTGTTCATCTGTTCCTTATGATTCGCAATCCAGTATTCACTGAAAATTTCCAATTATAAGATCAGAACTTGCATTCTCCCTTGTGTCATGTACCTATTAATTCGACGAACTATACCATTGTTTGTGTTTCCACAATTGAATAGGAAGGCCGCAGTCGAATTTCTGAAGGCTGTCTGCCAGGAACCAGGCGTTGACTGCACCCATTTATTGACAGCGTTCACCGGTAGTACACATGCTCCTAAGATTCTACTACCACTTCAATCATTTCTATATGTACTGACTTGGGAAATTTTTGTAAAATGAAGGGAAAAATTGCTGCTTAAATTCTTCCATAGTAGATGTTTTTCTAGATCATGAGCCCCAGTCAACTTCAACTAAAAACTTGGTCCATATATCCCAGAGTAAGTGTTCTAAATTTTTCATTCACAAACCATCAGTACTTTGAACGTTACAAACTCCGCGACGCTAAAATTAAACTGTAACATCTGCTTAGTGATTAGTGATCCAAATTTGCTCGAAATAGATGCACTCGATATAACATCCTGCGATTTTCTGAACAGTGATAAGAGACGGAATGATTGCAATGTTTGACTACAAGGACGGGAATATGCAGCACTACGGGCAGCCTACTCCTCCAGTGTACAATATGACAAGCATTCCAGATGACCTTCCTCTATTCCTCAGTTACGGAGGAGCAGATGCCCTCTCCGACGTCAAAGATGTGAAGCTGCTGATGAATAACCTCGAAAATCATGACGGAGATAAGCTTGTGCTTCAGTATAGAGACGATTACGCTCATGCAGATTTTGTCATGGGTGAAACTGCTAAGCAAGATGTGTATGATCCTCTCATGGCTTTCTTTAGACTTCAATGAGAATATTTACTTGTGAAACAAGTAATGCGAATTCTCTTATTCTCTTTTCTTCTCCCTCAGATCATATTTCTCCTTGGTTTTGCCCAACCCAAAGGGCAGCGTTGTATTTATCCATACTATATACCGGATTTTTCTTTTACCAACAAAATTCATACAATTACTACCATTTTTATATGGTTCATCTGTACTTTTACGGTTTTACCATGGTGTCTCTAGATCAAAACCCAGTACCTTATTATCTATATATAATATATCGATCTCTAGTTTCTCTATACGGTTGCGTGTTAATATGGGAAATGGTGAATCGGAAAAGTCAGGAATATAGGAGAAAGGGAGTGAATATAAAAGATTAACTACTCCTAACCTAACCAATCTAATTCATGGGGCTTCAACCATTCTAGACTATGGCTTGTTACATAGGACTCACAGTTTTTGACTCTGTAAAAGCAAAAGAAGTTAAAAACCGAGAATAATTTAAATATTCGTTCATTGCAAGTAAACGGGGACTTGAAAAAGATAGCTGCCTTGACTCCTACTTTGCATTAATCCACCTCTTTACTATTGGCAGTAATCTAGCCACGACATCATCTGTGAAGAACAATGGCTGCAATCCAGCTGCAATATCATAGGAAGGGGAGAGGGTAGGATCGGAACTATTACAATAATTTAGGGATTGGGGAGTATCGAACCCCAAACGCATGAATATAAACTCAACACTGTACCCATTAGCTAAGACTTTGCTTGTATACACTATCAATCTTTTTATGTATTAGTTGTAGGAATTACATTGTGTTTTTACATCAGAAAACAATAGCTAAGACTTGGCACAAAACCGAGCGCAATGACGTTCAAGGATTCATACATCACTTAGTGGGATAAGGCTTCTTGTTGTTGTGAAAAACCATAGCTAATTAGAAATTAAAATATTTCACCTTTTTCTTTGAACAAACAAATATTATTTACACTAAGGAGGGATTGAGTGGGCTTAGTCTCACAATGAGTTGACATTAATGTGGTTTAAATTTGTCTTTTGCGAGAATCGAACCTAAGACCTCTCACTTACAAGTGGAGATGAATATCATCAGATCATAATTCTAAGAGATAATATTTCACCCATTTAAAAACAACAAAATTATAAACAATATATTTCGCCCATTCTGCTTCTTATGGCGTTTATAATCTTGTGGCATTGCCGATTGACTGCGGCTTTGCCGTCGGCATTAATCAATTCGCCGGAAAAGGCTTTGGCGTTTATCTTGGCAGACAATAGTTTCGATGTATGGCTTGCCAACAGTCGCGGACACACAACAGTTAATCCAAATTATCCGGTTCGGTTGGCATGCCTTTTCAAATGTTGATCACATCATGCCATCTGCAGATCATAAGCTTAATTATACTAATGACATGTATTACTTCTAATGATAGAAAATCGATGAATGAGACTTGGAAGTATTGAATTATAGGGAACATTGACTTCCCCTAGCTGCCTTCTCCCAAGGAAAGCTGGTAAACATACTAAGATCAGCTGCATTGCTTGCCCCAGTTGCTTATCTTGGTCGGATGCGCTCGCCCTTCGTACGAACTGCTGTCGATACGTTTTGCACCAGATTGAATTTAGCTCTGCATTTTCCTTTACACAACTCAATGAAGCTTTTGGTTTATCATATACGGATTCCTCAATTCAATGTGATGAACATAGCAAAGTAACTAAAATTTTGTCTATTATCTTTATCACGGACCGGGTTTCTTTGCTTCCGCTGAATTTCCTTACAGGTGAGATTGCAACTCAAATAGTTTGTAAAGGAAAATGCGGAGTTAAATTCAATCTGGTACAAAAAAGTATGACAAGTTTTTAAGTATGTCTTGTAATTTTTTTCATTGTTTAAAAGAATATGTGGTGTTTCAAGTAATGGTTTATTCATATTAAAACGAAATTTGTAGGTTGAAATTTTAATCCATTTGATTCTCGATCACGCATTTGTGATTTGATAACAAGACTTCTCTGATCTTATCAAAAGCCCAACAGGCAGGTGCAGCAAATTCTGCAGTATATGCGCGCAAGACCAGGCAGTGGCTGCTCCAACTACCTCACAGCTTCAACAGGTAGTGACAATGTTATAGAGAAACTTACCTACATCGGAGATGCCCGTTTCGTGGAAGTCCTTCTCACAGTGTTAAGATTCGTCATTTACCCTTTTAACTTGAAAGTTTTTTATAGGCCCAAATTGCTGCCTCGGTCCTTCAAGCATAAATCTGTTTCTTCAACATACGCCCCAGAGAAACTTACCTACAATGGGTTTAGAGTAAGTCTCTTTCAATTCAGTGTTCAGTAATAGCGAGCTGTAAATGCTAATTAAGTGTCTAAAGCACGAGAGAAACTCACCTACAATGGGGATGTCACCATCATTGTTTCTCAAGTCAATGACACTCTGCCATAATGCATCCCTGTTGCGTGGAAGTCGTTCTCCTAAATTACGCTAGGAAAAGAAAAAACTAGTATTCGATTTGAAACTTTATCCTACATATCCCCTCTGATTAAATTTAATACTAACAAACTTTCAATTTTTTGTTTCTTGTTGATGGTGGAAAATGGTCACAAAAGGAAACATAGCAATGTACGATTATGTTTTTCCAGCAATAAACATTCAGCACTACAATCAGCCTACTCCTGTGTACAACATGGAAAACATTCCGAAAGACTGTTCCTCTTTTCCTCAGCTATGGAGGGAGAGAACCCCTGTCGAACGTGTTTGATGTGAAGTATTTGTTGGACAACCTCAGAGATCATGACAAGGACAAGCTTGTGGCACAATACACGGCGGAGTATGCTCATATAGTCATATGGATTTTCTTATGGCTGAGAATGCCAACCAAGTTGTGAAATCCCGTCCCGGAATTTCAATATTAATTACGTATTTCGTTATTAAATTTTGTACTTCATGTTTACGTTATTTTTTTAGTTTATTTTAACTCCGATAATTATGAATTCGAATCGTATTATTACAAGGTATGACTTTTTGTAATTAATCTTTTAAGGTTCATAGACCTTTCGAGATCACTACTAATATTTTTGGATAGAGCTTGATCCCACGAGCGCGTAGGCAAAAACCATTTGGAAATCGGAGTTGTAACGAAGGAGATATAAACGTTTAAAGTCAAGGACATTTTTGTCAATTAATCTTCAATTCCAGAAGGCTCCAGCCTTGTCGGAGCAGCAACAGCTGGGATGAAGCCACACGTGTGGCTAGGATGGAAAGGAGAGAAAAGAAAGGAGAGTAAGGGATGGGGAATTGGCCCAATCAGAAACAAGAGGGGAGAGAAAGGAGAGAGAAGGAGGAGCACCAGACTACCCGGACCTTAACCCAATTTTTGGCGACTGTTCTGATGGGTTTTCCGTCGATTTTCCTGCTTTCTTCATCCTCTCACCACCCCCAAACCTAACCACCACATCCCAGCATCCAAATAGAGCCAAAATCGACGAGTTTTCGTCTTGATTTCACGAAGAACACCCGTACAGGTGCCGTGAAACCCGAGCCTTCGATCCACCATTTTTGAAACAATCACCCTTGACTATCACCACCAATCGACACCTCTTGAGCCTAGGAACAAACCCTAAACAAGTTTGGGGGTGGCAGATCATCGAAGTAGACAGATCGAAGTTTACCCTTTTCGGGGTTTTCGACGGTTCGAGGGGTTTTCAGGCCATTTTTCGACCGAACTGAACCTTGGCTCAGGTATAAAAGTGACTCCTCTCCTCATGAGCTACATTTTGGTGTAATTTGAGAATTTTGGAATTTATGTGATTTTTCCGGTGAAGTGTGGCGGCGGCGCGTGGGCCGAAATAGCACTTGGCTTCCCTAAGCTATTTTGGATGCCCCGATTCCATATTTGACATTCGATTGACGAAATTCCAATGTTTGAGTATAATTTTGTTAAGGTCTGCCACTTGAACATTATAGCAATTGATAATCCGACTGTTGGATTGCCACCAAACTTTAGTATGCTATTGTAGATATTATTTGAGGACCTTGAGAAGTTATGAATTGAAAATCCAGTGGTTGGATCTTGCAGAGCAAGTTGTGTAGGGTTGTGGACCTTACCATTGACCGATGGTTGACTTTTTATCAACATGTCTTGAATTCTCTTCGTTTGTTGTAGGGGGACAGTTTGAGAGTTTTTTGTTATATATTTTATGGAAAGAATTCTAAATGTGGACTTGTACCTTGTCTTAGGCGACGTTAGCGCGGACTCCAGATGAATGACTTTAATATATGTGATATAGTTATTACCCTAGAAACCTCATGTGCTAGTATACTTTGTGTATACAACATAGATCTTTAATATATGTGATATAGTTATTACCCTAGAAACCTCATGTGCTAGTATACTTTGTGTATACAACATAGATTTCTAAATTATGTTTTATGCTAAATAATTGTTTTTATAAAGTTTACCATCGATCTACTTTGCTTATTGAAATGTTTATGAATAGTGTTTTAAAATATATACATTTGAAATGTTGAGAATTGTGAGGGCTAGTAGAGGACTGTTACCCTAGTGTCATAAGGTTAGGTGACACCGAGTCTGCACCATGTAGCAGTGGTACATGGATGGTCCTGCTTGGTTAATCCGCGATGGGGGACCATACTATTTATGGATCGTGCTTGGTTAATCCACAATGGGTGATCACTTCTTAGCAGTTGTAGGAGTGACTCTGCTTGGTTAATCCACAATGGGGGGGTCCCTGCCTACTTGGTTAGTTTCTCAGGGGTGGCTCTGCTTGGTTAATCACCTATGAGGGGCAATTTCCTGTTTGGTTACTTTTGTAGGCTTCGGTTGAACTGTGCCACTCTAGCCCTAGTTTTTAGTGTATTTGTGAACGATAGTTTTGGGAATCTTGGTGGATTGAATTAGAAAAGCTATTGGATGTCTGGGTGACTCATTCGGAGGTTTCAGTGACTTGACTTTGATTTCATAAATATGATTTGATGTTTGAGATTTATAAACTGTGATTGATGGTCTGTTTTTATTGATTATCATATACGTTGAATTATTATCACTCACACGAGCTTCGCAGCTTATTCGGGTTGTTGTTTGCCCAGTGCACCATTCCCATGGTGTAGGCACTGAATGTATAGGTGACAGGCCTAAGTAGACCACGAGAAGTCGGTGGAGGTAGCATGGCATAGATCAGAGCCTTGAAGCGTTTAGGTTACTCCTTTATCACCCTTGTACTATTTATTTTGGGACTCTCTTTTGTGCACCATAGGCTTGTCTTGGCCTAATGAGGGCTGTGTATTTTTGCGTACGAACTTGTATGTATCATGTTGGGGTGACCCCACTATCATATTTATTTTGGGATATTGGTTTTAGTATTTCCTTCCGTATCTTACATTAGATTTACCATACTTTACGGTCCCGTGCCACGTGTTGATCCTTGACGTATGTCCGGATCGAGTCGTGACACAAGTCGTCTATGCTCCCCTAATGGATTTCTTCAAGCTGTATTGAGACTTTAACACTTATGTAATTCTTTTTTCTTGCATATGTTAAATTTTAGGAGGTCTTTTTTTTTTCCGGTTTCCTTTGCTCTTATTGTACAAACTTGATATTTATTTCGGTGAAATAAATGCTCACCAACAAACTAAAGTTTTGACTTGTTAGGACTTTGTGGCGCGCATTATGGGTCTCACATACCACACACATGACATGTGACTCATTAAAGTTGGACGAGTCATGAGTGATACATGTCGACATCTGGCATAATGCAGAAGAATTACCAGATTAAGTGGATGGTCAAAACAATTAAGGAATTATCTTTACATTAACTTTGATTTAAATCAGATAAAATTATTAGATTTAAGTCAAACATAAATCATGCCAATTAAATAATGCATTTGACCCCTTTTTGAGCAATAATCAAAGTTCGGCCAAGTGAAGTGGCATTTGGTTCACATTAAAGATTGATTCTTTCATCAACCAAATTATCAAATTAAGGGTGATTAAACGGCAAGCCCTTAACTTGGTATTGGATTTGGCAAGTTAGCAAATTAGCAAATGGAATTGATTTGATTAGCCAATAGAATTAGATTTGATCAGCCAAATCATTTAGTCGCCCAGCCAGCTACCAAATCAAAGGTGATTGGTCGGCAAATAAATTGATTTGTAATTGGCTCAAGTTAAAAGGAGACTACTCAGCAAGTAAATGGAATTGGAACTGGATTTGATTAAAACGAAATGGTTGGTAATTGAACCCACCACATAAATAGGGTCTTAGTCAGCCAAATGCAATTGGCACAAATGAACTCGGTCCAAATTAATACCAAGTTCACTGATTTGGTTTAAATTAATACCAAATTAAATCCATATTAAGATTCAATCAAGACAAATCATGGAGACAAATTCTATAAAATCATAGCTCGAAAATAAATTGATTCATAGTGACGCATCGCCTAGCCAAGTTGAGCTTAATTCATAGTGACTTTGTAGTATGGTTTGAGGAGTCGCTTGATGTTATTCGAAGTGACATTGACCATGATATGCACTCTCTTTGAGTTTTCTAAATAAAAGATATTGCATTCTTTTCAAAAAATGCAAGGAATCATGAATAAGCCTATTAATATAATGTCTTCAAACATACTAACACTCAGACATCCACACATCCCTTGGACGCTCAAACACTCCACACACTCAAAAAGCTCTATGCATTTTTCGCCACATTCGTGGAGAACTATCAAGCACCACTACACATGTCAGTTCCTCCATCGCCACAAGCGGCGTTTGTGGATTCGAGATCAAGTCACTATGACTGTTGGATCAACCACTATACACAAATATTTTGCATCCCTAGAGATTGAATAAGAGAATCAAATTTTGTATCAGAGATTGTAACCCTAATTTCTCATTTAATACAAACGATTACTTTGTATGCGTGTTCTTGTTTTATTTGTCGCAGGAATTTCGTGTTTACAATCGGACTTTTCCACTTTTGTGCATTTAGGACACAAATTAGCCTCCCAGACTTAATTTTTTTTTCTCTCAAATATGCGACCTTTCATCCAATATCATTACATCCATATAATTCCATTGTGTTTGATTAGGCCCTTTAAGGGAAGTGATTTCTATATTTTTTAAATGGGGATTAGTTGTGGAGCCGATTCTACATCGAATTTCAACGATTAGAACCGTTTATTTTGTAAGTCTCAATTCATAGATCATTCTTGCAAAAATTCAATTCAATCCGAAACCATTTACCTATTTAATTGTCACAATGAAATTTCATTGTTTCTCAACAAAGTGTTCGTCAATTTCTTTGAACTCAATTAGATATCTTAAATGTTTCTGATTTGACTAATATTTTGCAAAGATAATCTAAGAGACGCAACTTTAAAAATATACGATTTGGATTGCTGAATTCGATGTGCGGTGAGCCCCACAACTAATCCTATTTTTTTTTTCCATTCCCTTAAAGGTCTCCATGTTAGATTACCTAACTTGCGCGATCCCACATTCTGCGGTAAAATTTGTCAATTTAAGCCCCGTATAATATCAGACGCTTTCTTATCCGTTTCCTGCCAATTGCAAATGTTGAAGGTCGTTTTCCCTGGAAAATTTGGTATATTGTAAGCCTATACGTAATAACTGGTACTGACTAAATATGTCGCAGAGTCCAGACCAATTCTCACGTTTTTGAAAACTGGTAAATATGTCAACACTGAAACTATACTATTTTTAGTTGCCAGAAATTTTGTGCCTATTGAAATGATGGTCATTTCTTGACTTGACATAGATCATTTTTTGTTTGGCATTTTCTAGCTGATTCATTATATATGTTATCATTCCAAATATTATAATAATACAGGTGAACAACATTATTGATATGTTATATATATACATGCTATAATATGAGTAGATTGATAACACCGTGTAACGGTGTTAAAGATACTGCTCGTTACGATTGATTGTTTGTTCGTATATGCATTTGTCTACTATAAATAACAAAAGGTGTAAAAATTATTGCACTCAGAGACACCTTAGCTTCAAATGGAAAATCCTTCAACCACTATACTTGTTGTGGCTTTACTTTGGGTTTCAGTAGTTGCAGCAACAAGAACTAAGCTGCAATTGATTGACGACGCTGATGGTGGCATTTGCAAATCAATGGTGGAGACACAAGGCTATACTTGCCAAGAACATAAAGTAAGCATAAGAAAGTGCATGCCTTATTTCTATCTTTTTAAGATTACGTTGACACAACAGAAATCAAAGTTTTTGTGTTTTGTTTTGGAAATTTTGATGAGTTCCAGGTAACAGCCAGAGACGGCTACATCCTCGGCTTGCACAGAATTCCGAAGGGACGGTCTGGTAATAAGACGCCAAACAAGGAGCTGCCTGTTTTGTTACAACATGGGCTTTTAATGGTTCTTACCTAATTAAGCAACATATTTTTATCATGCTTGTAGACATGTATACACATGTGCAAGACATAGATGAACTGATTAAATAACAATTGTCTGTGGAAACTGCAGGATGCGTCAGCATGGCTACTCAATCCGCAAGATCAAGCTTTGGCATTTATCTTGGCAGACAATGGTTTCGATGTTTGGCTTGCCAACACTCGCGGGACAAATTCTAGTCGCGGACATACATTACTTACTCCTAATAATCCTGTTCGTGTTGCCTCATAATTGATCACATCATATCATGTACGGATCATAATCTTAACTGCAACGTATCTTTTATCTTCTGTAATGTGTAGGCTTACTGGGACTGGTCATGGGATGAATTGGCTGCTTATGATCTTCCTGCTTTATTCGAGTATGTGAACAATCAAACAGGACAGAAATTACACTATGTTGGTCACTCCTTGGTAAATATTCACCTAATTTGGTCATATTTCAAGTTGGATAATACTTACTTAGACCCTACAGATACACCTCTTTGTCCACTTAGTTGTGACTAACATATTTTAACCGTATAAATTTCCTAGGGAACTTTGACTGCCCTTGCTGCCTTCTCTCAAGAAAATCTGTTAAACTTGCTAAGATCAGCTGCTTTGCTTAGCCCGGTTGCTTACATGGGTCAGATGTCATCGCTGTTTCTAAGGATTCTTATGAACATATTTTTAGCAGAAGTAACACAAATCAGCGCCTACTCTTTTGCTTTAAAAAATATGGGTTTAGAATTCACTCCTGCAAAAATAGAATTAACTGACTAAAATGTTGTCTTGTTTTATTTTACAGAAACTCAAATTGTTGGGTTTGCCTGAATTTCCAAATGGATGAGATAGCAACTTAAGCAGTTTTGCTTCAGTAGTATTAAAGACACATGCATGCAGACAATAGCATAAACTTGATTAGATATTTTGTTTAACATATGACACATTTGTGAAAAATGACATCTATAGCAGTTTGTTCTTCTCAAAATCTCAACAGTGAGACACAACAACTTGTGAAGTTTATCTGCAAAACACCAGGCGTTGACTGCTCCGACTTTTTGGCAACTATTACAGGTTGAGAGGCCAAAAAAACGTTCACACTTTTATGCAGGGCTTTAATTTCACGACAAGTGGGATTCACAATCTCAGTAGTAACAATGTTAGGGTTCCTCATTCACACTTTTAACATGAATTTTTTTTTTTGCAACCCATATATAGGCCCAAATTGCTGCCTCAGTTCTGCAAGCAAAGCTACTTTGTTTAAGAATTTTCCCCAGTCCACGGCGACAAAGAACATGATACATCTGTCTCAGAGTGAGTCCCATTCATTTCCAGCTTTATCAGTAATGGCGAGTTATATAAGTAGTAATATTTGTATTTAAGTACCCAGAATTCCTATCTAATTAACAAATTAATTACAATTTTAGTGTTTGGTCATATCTGTTTATGGATTTTGGATAGTGGTCAGGATGGGAACCCTAGAAATGTACGATTATGGTCTAGAAGACGCGAACATGGAACACTACAAGCAGCCTACTCCTCCTGTGTACAACATGGCGAACATTCCGAAAGATGTTCCTCTTTTCCTCAGCTACGGGGGGAGAGATGCGATTTCTGATGTTAATGACGTGGGGCTTCTGCTTGACAACCTCAAAGATCATGACAAGGACAAGCTTGTGGTAGAGTACAGAGAGGATTATGCTCATCTGGATTTTATTATGAGTGTGAATGCCAATCAACTTGTGTATAATCCCATACTGGCCTTCTTCAAGCTCCATTAATGTTATGTTTACTAATAATCCTTAACTTCATGGAACCACTGAAGTTAATTGTTTACTAAACTATCCGGAACCGCAGCAGGAATAATACTAAATCTATATGAGCTGGGTACAAATTCAAACTTTACAAGCTATTGTAGTACGCATCTCCTACATGTGAGAGTTCTTGTGGTGTAAGTTAACCTGATTTTTATCAGGAGTAAAGTACAAATAAGTCCTTTTGTCACATCCACAATCCATTTTGCATTCATAATAAACACCCATTTTTTGTTACCAAAGGAACTGGATCCCCTCCAGACCCAAAGGAATTGAACTCACTCATCAAATGATCCGGACCATTGAAATTTGATCTAATGGCTCCAAACAGAGAGCCCTCTAAAAGTTATAATAATTGTAGCCGTTTGATCAAATTTCAATGGCCTGAATCATTTGATTCTTGGACTTAGTTCATTTGGATCCGGAGGGAATCTAGTTCTGTTACCATAAGTTTATGCTCATGAAGATGAATCAGCAAATCCTATTGAAACCCCACATATTGTTGAATACACCCAACATACTTAATACATCTCACATTTACTTTTTTAATTAAAACCTATCTTAATACACCCCATTTAATTTCCTATAATACCCTCACATCCCACAATCTCACTATATACCTTATATTTTCTATCAGCAGTTTTTTTTACTGCTTTTATAATATGCAATCATGTAGAAAATTAATCATGCTAAGGTATTGATTCTGGTTGTTTCTTTTCAATTTTTTACAGAATCGTATGAAATTAAAAGTGTTCAATATGCGTTCCTCCAAAAAACCTAACTGAAGTTCCAAATCTTTCTCGAACTAAAAAACTTGGGCATATAAATCTTTTTTACTGTAAAAGTTTGGTTGAAGTTTCTTCATTTTTTTCAATATCTTTACAAGCTTACTTTTCTTAAACTTGGAGGGTGCACTAGTATCAAGTATTTTCCGAAGATGCCAAGCAATATTGAATTCTGAAGTTTACGTGGCAGTGGTATAAAGGAGTTGCCTCCATCAGTTTGGTCTCACCAAAAACTTTCTTCTTTGGATATTGGAGATTGCAAAGATCTTAAGAAATTTCCAAACAGTAGTTGTAAGCTGAAGGTCTCCGGTTATTTTAGTCTAGACTATTGCTCATCTGTAGACGAGTTTTCTAAGCTTTCCAGGAATATAAGTGTATTAGATTTGACTTGGACATTAATAGAAGTATTGCCCATATCATCAATGGAGCATCTCATTAGTCTCACTGCAATTAAACTGAATGATTGCAAAAGAATCAATACTATGATATCACTGCCAATATTTTGGCGACTGAAATCGCTAAAACAGTGAAAATACAAAGCCTTACCTCATGTAAAGTTTTCGAAATGTTGATTTCATGTTTCATTCATCAAGAATAATTTTTTCAATTAACGTGTTTGTAGTTTCATTAATTCTACAATGGAGGATGAGAGTGGTTTTGTAAGTTGAAGTAGATAAATAAACTTGGGATATACATGTGAAAAGTAATTTGGATTTTTATTTTTTGTAAAACCTTATAAGGTTGAAATTGTCATTACACATTAGATATGTAAGTCATTTCATATTAAATTTTAATGAGGGGTGTATTCAACATATTGTGGGGTGCTAATAAAAAAAGCCTATATTTACCATCCATTCATTAATATGCAAATATCCTAGCTATTGATAATGGATAAAACGAATTCATTAAGCCATAAATGTGAGTATTTTTCGGCTTTAGGTTTCTCCTGGCCTCCATCTGTGCCAGATACTTTTTTTAAGGGTAAATTACACAAAATTACCTTAATTATGAGTCGAATCAAAATTTCATAGCCTATGTTTTAAACATTGCAATGTCATATCTCAATTTATAAATTTATTGCAATGTCAGACATTCGTTAAGTTTTTTATCAGTATAGTTGTTAAATGATGACGAGGCAGGAGTAAAGCCCACTCTTTTTTCCAACTGAAATATTGAATTAATTAATTTGTTGATGCACAAAATCAGTGAGGACTTTGGTACAACATAAAGTGTTAAGTTTGTGACATTCGCTAGATTGCTCCGGTCAATAGTGTGGATAAGTATGTAAATGGATAGAGACAGGGAAGCAAACACAAGATGTACGTGGTTCACCCAGATTGGCTACATCCATGGAGTAGAAGGGTTCTTATTAATTGTGAAGGATTTACACAAGTACATAGGTTCAAGCTCTCCTTTTGTGAGTACTAGTGAATGATTTAGTACAAATGACATTAGGAAATATTGTGGGAGATGATCTCCTTTTATAGAAGAGTTTCTAGCTTTGTTCTGACATTGACACGTGTCGTGTTGTGATTGACTTCTGATGTTGACACGTGTCGCACAATGATTGGCTTCTGATGTCGACACATGTCGCATTGTGATTGGCCTCCTGGTTAGAGGGAAACTCTTCTGGGTCCTTGACGGTATAACGTTGACCAGTGCTCAGTAGTTTCAGGATTGGTCAAGTATGGTACAAACAGTGCTCCCCTAAGTTCTCGAGTGAGGGAAGCTCCTCGGTTAGGGACTTGCAAGATCAAAGCCACTGAGTAATCACAAAACTTCTAAGTACCGAAGTGTGGTATTGTCTTCACTTACCTTATCTGTCTCATAGGTAGATGTGGCATCTTCTCTGGAAGTACTCTTCCTCCATCCAGAGGTGGTATCTTTAACGGTGGAGATGCACAAGGTAATGTATCAATTTCACTTGAAGCTTACTTGTAGTTTCAGGCTTGGTCAAGCGCGATACAAACCATGTAATAAGAGTCCCCCAAGTCACCGAGCTAGGAGATCTGCCGAAAGAGGTGACAGACAAGGTAAACAATCAGTCCCAGATCAGAAGTTTGATTTCGAGTTCTGGCTAATTGCTCTTATTCTCCATATCTTGTAGGCAGCATGAAGGATAAAGAGAAGAAAAAGGAGAAGAAATGATATGAGATACTTTTACTTTTGAAGAAGTAACTTTCCACAGGTTTATTTTTGAACTGGGCTGGAGGGTTTTCTGGTTTCCTTCAGTGTATAAGGCCGACTCAAGAATTTGATGGTCAAAACAAGTCCATCAAATCTAGAGTACGTTCGACCATGATGATATGGGATACTTTTGCTGTTGACAAAGTAGTGGATGTATCGACACGTGTTCTGTTACGCTTGTCTCCACATGCTTCCTTGTATCCTTCTCACTTGCCCTATCTGTTCTTCAGGCAGATGTGGTATCTTCTCTGGAAGCATAAGATGTTGAAGATGAGTACTCGAGAGCAATGCCAGGTAAGTAATCAGGCAAGGGGTTTCAGGCAGTCAGTTCCTGACAGGAAACTTGATTCCAAATGCTGACTGATTGCTCTCTTTCTCCTTGTCTTGCAGGTAAGAACAAAGGAAAAAGAAAAGACAGGGAAAAAGCATGATATGAGATACTCTTGCTTTTGACCCTGATGATATGAGATAATCTTCCTCTAGTGTGACTAGTTTGCATAGGTATTATTGGGGGGAAGAAAGCTGAGTATTTTGAGAAGCTTCGTTGTGAGTGTCCACTATATGTCTGATTTGTGAAGAACTGATCAAAGGGGAGAAAGACATTTGAGTGAACAAGATGAAGATTTTAGAGATAACTTCTAATAATGTGTAAATAAAATTAATAACTAATGTGGGAAAATGCGTGCAAAACAAAATTTGGCGCAAAAGAATCCATATACAAAATTAATCATTTGTGCCTTGATGAGTCAATTTGGGCAATTCTGAGCATGATAGGATGACACTAGATATTGCCATTAATTATGTTTAATCATTCATCAGTATATTGGCCTAAATTGAAGGCCTATTTGACAATAATTGGTGTCCATGAATTTGTCTACTCCAGTAAAAATTGCAATATCTTTGAAATTTTGAAATTGAGGCACATAGTGAATTGGCTTAAATTCAACCACTCTACTTCTATGAGCAACTAGAATTAAAGCTGCACTCGATCACCAAAAATGGATGTTGGCCTTCGCAAAGGAATGGTGGAGACAAAAAAGGCTTTACTGGCCATTAGAACAAGAATGTTGCAACCCTTAAATGTTAATTTGGAGATGAGAAACTAATTAATGACATGTTTACTTACCTTGAACGTGTATTGAAAGTATTCACATTCATAACTTTTATTGACTTTATTAACACATACGCAATAAAAAAAGGAATGTGGGTCCAACATCAAAAATTGTAATTATGAAAGTTAAGAATTGAATTTTTGAATGAAAGGAATCAAAGTTATTAGGCTAGTAGTTGATGATCCAGTTCTCGTTTCAAATAAGTAACCATACCATGAAAAGTTACGACATTTTTTTATTACAAACGATATTATTATTTTAAACTACAATAAGGAGAGAAGGAAGATTTGAACTTAAGACGCAGTGCGTTGAAGAGGAAAAACCATATCCACAAAGACAATCCATCACTTGCAAATTACTACACTTTGAATACAACGATATGTTTACCACTAAAGGGGTGGGGAATTGGGCTTGGCCGTATAATGAGTCAACCACAATAATTTGATTACGAATTCGTCATCTACGGAAGTTGAATATAAGACCTTCCAATTATAAGTGGAGATAAATATTATTAGACCGTAATACTAAGGGACTACTTGGGATATTTAAGTGAAGAATTTGAGTCTGACAAGGGTTAAAGGGTCTTGTTAATTAGTTAATGTGTCACATTATCATTTAACTGATAAAGCTAAATTTAAAGTCTTTACAATAAAGTTGCTTCATCATAAAATCTAAATCATTAAGACACAGAATCGGTTGCTAATCCACCACCAACTAAATGGCAAACTTTGGCTATGCAATTGATTGAGCTAGATCCAGCCATAAATATTTTGTTATTATTGTGCATATATATTTGCCTATAAAATAAGAAAACAAAAGCACTGAAAATTTGAAACCGTTGCACCCAGAAACCACTGCGCTCAAAAATGGCTAACCCTTCAACCACTCTAATATTTATGGCTCTACTTTGTATTTCAGCAGCAGCAGCAGCGACAAAAAATAAGCTGTACTCAATCGAAAATTCGAATGTTGGCCTTTGCAAATCATTAGTGGAGACACAAGGCTACATTTGCCAAGAACATAAAGTAAGTTATCAGAATGTGTCTTCCTTGATTCGATATTTTCGGATCACATAACCAATATGTGACATCATAGATAAATTCTGTTATCTTTTGCCATAGATCAGCTTTTCGATGAGTTTCAGGTAACAACAGAAGATGGCTACATCCTTGGCCTGCAGAGGATTCCAAATGGACGATCCGGTAATACGACAGCCGACAAGCTGCCTATTCTGTTACAACATGGATTGTTACTGGTTTGCATCTAATCACCATATTTTTGAAATATATGTACAAATATTGTGCCTGACATAAAAATAAATTGACAAACATTTTTGTGGCAACAGGATGCTTCATCATGGCTATTCAACCCGCCGGAAGAATCTTTGCCATTTATCTTGGCTGATCATGGTTTTGATGTCTGGCTTTCCAATGCTCGTGGGACGAGATCTAGTCGTGGACACACATCACTTAGTCCTAATGATCCGGTTCGCTTTGCTTTTTGGAAATGTTGATCCACATCATACCAGCTTAATTTGCATCTTAATCATGTACTAATAATATCCAACCAATAATTTAGGCTTACTAACGCTAAACCCTAATGTTTTACCCGCTAACACTATCGTTTGTTAAAAAATGAATTAGGCTTACTGGGACTGGTCATGGGATGAAATGGTTGTTTATGATCTTCCTACTTCAGTCCAGTACGTCCGTGATCAAACAGGACAGAAATTACACTACGTCGGACATTCCATGGTAAACATTTAAATAACGTTTTTTCGTCTTTACTCCCGGGAATTTTCATGTTTTAGAAATTTAATTGTTGTACATTTAAAGGGAACTGACTGAGACTTGAAGCTGTTGAATTATATAGGGAACTTTGGCTGTCCTCGCTGCCTTCTCGGAGAAAAAGCTGTTTAACTTGCTAAGATCAGCTGCTTTGCTTAGCCCGGTTGCTTATCTGGGTCAAATACCCTCACTGATTTTAAGAACTGCTGCCGAAACATTTTTAGCAGAAGTAACACAACTTAATGAACCTTTTTGTTATTATATATGGATTCTTAAAAATCTATTGTTACAAATATATAATTTATGACAAAAATGCTCTCCTTTTTTTATTTACAGGAAGTGAAATTGTTGGGATTCCCGGAAGTTCCAAACGAGTGAGATGGCATTTTACACAATTTTTGTTTCCGTAACATAGGCACAGTCTATTTTTGTTAAAGAAAATTGGAGTTTTTAAGTGTGTTTTAAAGTTGACAAGAATGCTTTTTTACATAGTTTGAAATATTAATCCATCTGATTATCAGTCACTCAATGGGAAATTACATCACTGACAATTTTTCTGTTCGTACCAAAAATCCTACAGGCAGATTATAAAACTAGTGCAATCGATCTGCAGATCACAGGGAATTGACTGCTCCGACTTACTGGCAGCTGTCGGAGGTAGTAATACAAAGCTTGCTCATGCATTCACACTTTTAAACTTGAAATTTTGATTTGCTCAGCAGAGATTGAATTTTTTATTTGCAATCTGCAGGCCCAAATTGTTGCCTCAGTCATTCAAGTATAGATGCTCTCTTTAAGAACCTTCTCCAGCCCACTTCAACAAAGAACCTTATACATTTTGCTCAGAGTAAGTCTCTTTGATTTCCAGGTTCAATCATGTGGTAACAATCTAAAGCACAATCCAAACTTTAGTAATAAAACATCGGAACTTCTCCGTGCAGGACACTGGATGTATGGAGAAAACCTACTTCTACTCAATTTTATTTTCAATCCCATTAATCGACGATGTTGATTATTAGGGTATAAAATGGCTTTTTAGAGCTTTGATTCTAGATTTTAAGTAGCCTAATGCTTGACATAAACCAAGAATCTAAGCAATTAACCAATCCAAAACTAGAAGTTAAGGTCTAAGCTCTAGTTTATGATTGTATACCCTAGCTAAAACAAAACCAACCATGTCAATAAATGGGATCAAAGATGATGAAAAAATTTTGAGTAGAAAATGATATTTTCTCAATGCGTAATTTCCTGCACATGAAAAAGACTGAACTTAAATTTGTATTGAAACTTTTAGATGAAATGCTTATATATGATGTTTCAATTCTTTACTTCTTATTTATGGATTTTGAAAAGTGATCAGGAAAGGAACCATAGAAATGTACGATTACAGTCACGCATACATGAACATGGAACACTACAGGAAGCCTACTCCTCCCGTGTACAACATGGCAAACATTCCGAAGGACATTCCTCTTTTCCTCAGCTATGGAGGGAGAGATTCAATTTCTGACGTGAATGATGTGGGAGTTTTGCTTGACGACCTCGAAGATCATGATAAGGACAAGCTTGTGGTACTGTACAGAGAGGATTATGCTCATTTGGATTTTATCATGAGTGTGAATGCCAATCAACTTGTGTATAATCCTCTAGAGGCCTTCATCAGGCTTCATTAATTAAGAGTAAAGACTACAGCTACTTTTGCAAATATGTTGAAGACATTTCTTTTGTCTGACAATTATCAAAATTCATAAGTTATTTATAAAGAAATCGTAAATAGGGTTTCGGATTTGAATTCCGTAGGTAATTTAAGGAAGGTATTGCTTGTATAGAAGTTACGCATCTACATATATGAGCTTTCCTATATTTCAAGCCTAGTATGCAGCTGTTTCTACCTTGGAGAAATTTTTCCGCTAGACTCTGAAGCTATAGCATTTTAGTGGTTAGGTTGAACTTGCTTTTCAAATGCTACTATGTGTAAGCCTTGGACAAACACAAATTAATTGCAAAACAAAAAACAAACACAAACTTTGGCGTAGCCTAGTTGGCTAGAGCAATGTAGCATTTTTTTGCAGCCAAATGTGAATCCCCGGCCACATCTCTGTAGTTTATATTAAATTACAATCTTGCTCGAATAAAAAAGAAATTACAAAAGTGAATCACTGGTTATTTGCATATGCGGAGGGAGCATGCAGTGTGATGAAAAATGCAAGTAGGGTTTCACCTTCTATATCAATGGTTGACACCTCTATTGAGAGACCTAAACCAGTCACAATGTAGTTACAACAGTAAATAGTTAGTTGTGGTATTTGTGTAATTAGTTGTAGAAGATAAGGTCACTTATGTAAAGAGTCTTTGTGACTATATATATCTCTGTATACTGTCAATTAAAATATGAATGAGAAATATCTTTTTTAACACTTTCTACATGGTTTCATGGCCAAAAGCCTTCCGGCATTCGATCCTTCATTTCTTTCGCTCTACTTCTCTGATTTCTGTTCAAATTGATCAGCTTTCTTCGATTGATTTGGTATTCTGATCTCTGTTCTTGATCTGTCATGGTGTTTTTTGTCTACAATTTCTGTCAATTTTGAGTCGGTGATAGATCTGAGTTTTCTTACAATTTCGTTGATTTGGGGATTTTTTGATCGATTTCTCTCTTTCTCGATCGATTTCTTGATCGACTTCGTGATCGATCTTGTGTTTTCTATCTTTGATTCTTCCTTCTCTCTCGCATCTTGCGCTTGTATATCATGGCCTCCCCCTCTGACTCTTCGTCTCCGTCGCCAAACCCTAATTTCTCTGCAAATCCTCAGAACTCGTATATGTCTCTTACGATCCAAAATATTGGTAGCATGGTGCCAATCAAGCTCAAACGCACTAATTACCTTCCATGGCGTGCGTTATTTGCTCCGATCTTGCGCCGATACAAACTTCTTGGCCTCGTCGACGGTACTGAGCCATGTCCGGCTCCCCTTCTCCCTGATCGCTCCCTGAATCCAGCATTTGAGCAGTGGTTTGAAAAAGATCAAAACCTCTTGATTTGGCTCAACTCGACTTTATCCGAAGATCTCATTCCCTTCACAGTAGGGGTGTCCACATCTCGAGAACTTTGGCAGAAGCTTGAACAACGCTTTGGTGGCGTCTCTGAAGCTCACATTCACCAGCTTCGTTCTCGTCTTCAATCGATTCAAAAAGGCTCTCAATCGATCTCGGAATATCTACAGCAAATCAAGGAAATTTCGGATTCTCTCAATGCTGCTGGCGCCACTGTACCTGATCGTGATCTCATTGCTGCAACGCTTCACGGTCTTCCTGATGAATTCGAGTCCTTCATTGACTCCATCATGCTGCGATTGTCTTCTACTTCTCTTGATGAATTACATGGTCTGTTGCTGACCAAAGAGCTTTCCATGGCTCGTCGAAAGCATACTCTGTCCACCACTGCTACGGAGCCCTTTCAAGCATTCTCTGTTCAGTCTCAAGCACCTTTGCTCCCAACGCCTTCTTCACAGGCCTTTGCTGCATATAGTCAGCCTCTTCAATCTTCTTCTCGGTACAATTCTAATAGAGGCCGGAACAATCGTAATTTTTTCCGAGGCAATCGAAATGTCAGTAATTCACGTGGCAACTCCACTGGTACTTATCGTCCAAGTCAGCCTCGTGCCTTTCATCAAGGCTCCCGATCTCACAACCAAGGTTCTTCATCAAATCACAAGACCACCTGTCAAATATGTGGTTCTACCAGCCACGAAGCAATTGATTGCTTTGACAGGATGAACCCTGAGATCTTTGGACGGGTGCCACCAGCCAAACTTGCAGCTCTTTGTGCTCACTACTCATCCAAACCATCCCCTTCTTGGCTATTGGATTCTGGAGCCACCTCCCATATCACGAATGACATTGCCAATCTCTCTGTTGCCTCGCCTTACACTGGTGAAGACAAGGTCTATATAGGAGATGGTAAAGGTCTGCCTATTCACAATATTGGTATCTCTTCTTTAGATACATCTCATACTTCCTTTAAGTTGCGTAATGTCTTACATGTGCCTGCTATGAAACACAACTTGTTATCTGCCTATCAATTTTTAAAAGATAATAATTGTGCCTTGACTCTTGACCCTGATGGATCCACTGTAAAGGATCGAGTTTCGGGGAAGACGCTTTTGCGGGGACGAGTTGAAGATGGCTTCTATCCTCTTCAAGGCTCTGGTCATCCCCCCTCCTCCTCACCCTCGACTTTAATAAGTGTTAAAGCTCCTGTCCAGATTTGGCACCGAAGATTGGGTCATCCATTTTCTTCTATTTTTCGCAAGGTTTTTTCAGGAAATAAGCTTGTCGTGCAAGGCAAACCTGTTGGTGATATTTTCTGCTCAGATTGTGCTTTAGCTAAAAGTCACAAGCTTCCTTTTGGTTCTGCCAGTTCTACACGTACTCACAGTCTTCAACTACTACACTGTGATATTTGGGGTCCTGCCTCCATCACTTCTCCTAGTGGCTTTAAGTACTACTTGTTGCTTGTAGATGATTACAGTAGATATAGTTGGTTATTTCCATTAAAGGCAAAATCTGATGCCTATTCTACTTTTGTTGTATTCAAACAATATGTAGAAAATCTACTTGGAAATAAAATCAAAGTTGTGCAGTCCGATTCAGGGGGTGAATTCATTGGTGCTAAGTTTGAGTCTTTTCTTCACACTCATGGTATTCTTCATCGATTAACATGTCCTCACACTCCTGAACAAAATGGCTGTGCTGAAAGAAAACACCGCCATATTGTGGAAACTGCCCGTACATTACTTGTTGCTTCTAATGTTCCACATCTTTATTGGGTGGAAGCTTTTTCCACGGCTGTGTATCTTATTAACAGGTTGCCGATCTCTGGCCTTTCTACATCTCCTTGGGAATTACTCTTCTTCAAGCCACCAGATTACTCCAGACTCAAAGTCTTTGGTTGTCGATGTTTCCCGTGGCTCAAACCTTACACTCATTCCAAGCTGGATGCTAAGAGCAAAAGTTGTGTGTTTCTCGGGTACAGTTTACAGCACAAAGGATATAGATGCCTTGATCCAGTCACTAATCGTCTCTATATTTCCAGACATGTGCAGTTTGATGAAGCAACTTATCCTTTTCAGTCTTCTCCTACCATCCCTGTTCTGTCTTCAGACTCTGTTACCGCTCCCATGGATCTGCAGTTTTCCGTTCCTCAGCATACTGGTGTTCCTCCTGGACACGTTGGCCATCCTCAAGAGTCCATTCCTCCTACTGCTGCTCCAAGTACAGATTCTCTGACTAATGCATCCGTATCTTCCCCTGCAACAACTATGTCATTGCCCCCTTCCAATACTCACCCTATGATCACTCGCTCCAAAGCTGGTATCTTCAAGCCCAAAGTTTATGCAGCTACCAAACATCCTCTTCCATCTGATATTGACTTTATTCCAACTACATATCTGCAAGCCTCTAAACATGCTTATTTGAGGTCTGCCATGCAAGATGAGTTTAATGCATTACAATCAACAGGTACCTGGACCCTTGTTCCTCCATCTTCCTCCTACAATGTGGTTGGCTGCAAGTGGGTGTTCCGAATCAAGAAGAAACCTGATGGTACTGTTGAGCGCTTTAAAGCTCGTTTAGTTGCAAAGGGGTATCATCAGCAGGAAGGTATCGATTTTCAAGAGACCTTCAGTCTTGTGGCTAAACCAGTCACCATTAGAATCCTTTTGTCCCTTATTGTGCAGTTCAATTGGTTTCTACATCAGTTAGACATCAGTAATGCCTTTCTTCATGGTGATTTGAAGGAAGATGTGTACATGCAGCAGCCTCCCGGTTTCTCTGATCCTACTATGCCACATCATGTCTGCAAATTAAGGAAATCCCTTTATGGTCTCAAACAAGCCCCTCGGGCTTGGTTTGACAAACTGTTTCAAGCTCTTCTTCAGCTTGGTTTTCAGCAATCTTCCTCCGATGCTTCCTTATTTGTTCTTCCTGGTCCTACTCCTGTCATGGTGCTTGTGTATGTCGATGATATCTTAGTCACTGGACCTGACTCTTCCTTATGCCATCTCTTCATTCAAAATCTCAGTGATATTTTTCCAGTTAAGGATTTGGGTCCACTGCACTATTTCCTGGGTTTAGAGATTCAACGATCTTCCACAGGTCTCTTCCTCCATCAAACAAAGTATTTACTTGATCTTCTCCGGAAAACTAATATGGCTGGTGCGAAGCCTTGCTGCACTCCCCTTGGCTCTAACAAATTGGATCACAGTGGTCCTCTTTTCTCTAATCCAACTGAGTATCGATCCATTGTTGGTGGTTTACAGTATTTGACATGGACACGTCCTGATATTTCGTTTGCTGTGAATCAAATATGTCAGTTCATGCATGCTCCTCGAGACCAACACATGCAAGCTGCCAAACGAATTCTTCGTTATCTCAAGGGTACTGTATCTGAAGGTCTATGGTTCAGACAGGATGCCACTAATCTCACAGCCTTCTCCGATGCAGACTGGGCTGGCTGTCTATTTGATCGCCGTTCTACTAGTGGTTACAATGTCTTTCTCGGATCCAATCTTATCAGTTGGAGTGCCAAGAAACAGGCTACTGTGGCACGGTCATCCACAGAGGCGGAATACAGATCTCTAGCCCACACTGCAGCTGAACTGACTTGGATCTGTAAAATTTTTCGTGACCTTGGTTTTCCTCTCTCTCAGGCTCCCACTCTCTGGTGTGATAACATTTCAGCCATCTCTCTTGCTTCTAATCCGGTCTTTCATGCCCGAACTAAACACGTGGAGATTGACTATCATTATATTCGCGAGTTGGTCTTAGCTAATCTCATCAAGGTTCACTTTGTTTGTAGTCAGGATCAGCTCGCTGACATACACACCAAGTCTCTGTCCAAAGGTCGATTTGCTGCTCTAAAATCCAAGCTTCCTCTTGGTTCTTCCATTGATCCCGAGCTCAGCTTGAGGGGGTGTATTGAGAGACCTAAACCAATCACAATTTAGTTACAACAGTAAATAGTTAGTTGTGGTATTTGTGTAATTAGTTGTAGAAGATAAGGTCACTTATGTAAAGAGTCTTTGTGACTATATATATCTCTGTGTACTGTCAATTAAAATATGAATGAGAAATATCTTTTTTAACACTTTCTACAACCTCTCTCTCTCTCATCAAATATAGATTTTTGATCTAAGAGAAAAATGATTCCAGGCTGCAGGATGAGTTGCTGTGAACGGATCACCATCATTGTTTATTATTCTACAACCCTTCACCCTTTTCGAAGGCAAGAAGAGCTCCTCACAGTGAACAGCACAGGGCGGTGGTGAACCTCCAATGCTAACTTGGCGATCAAGGTTCCCATGAACTGACGAGGACCTCACCATTTTCTTCAGCTTGGTAACTAAATTGACAAGCTTCTCCATCCTCGACCTCTTAATCTTTCATTAATCTCAAATCCTCTTGAAGAAGCTTATATGTAGAATTGGCGGAGTTGAAAGGAGTTGATCAAAGTGTGGTGGCATCACACGGATTTCGTGCAAGCTTGTACAAGATGAGCGTGGCATTTGTAAGTTACTTGCGTTTTCTTTCTGTTATAGGCTTAGAGCTCACATGCCTTGTCATTTTGTTGCAGCTTTAGCTTTGAGGAGGATATGTTACGTTCACTTTGTTAGAGAGTAAGGATTTGTTGGCTTCTTATATGGCATGAAAATTCTGGATCTGTTATACTTATGCACGTCAAGGAGTCATATTTACAATACTTACATGTATTTAATGCCGCTGCCATCTTGATAGTCATATGATGATTGAATTAAATACATATATTAGCATGAATTATATATATCTATCAAATGATAATTATATTAAATAGTAAATACATATAAGTGTTGTAACCAATTCTGAAAAGTCTTAATACAAAATCAGGGTTGAAAAACAAAGAAAAAAGAGACGTTAAATGAGAAAGGAAGGCCAAAAAATTATTGCTTGTGTCACTTTTTTTTTAAAGGAAAACTAATGAAAAAGGCTAAAAAACTTTTAGTTTTAACGATAAGGACAAAATAAAGGATAAAGTGAATAGTAGCATAATTGACTTTTTAATGTAAAAATATGGTTTTTCGTTAAAGTGAACAGTACCAAAAAATTTTCATTAAAGTTCCATTTTTTTAACCTCTTCATTTCGCTTGTGGGTGCAAAACCTAGTAAAATATTGAATTTAAATGGTAAATGGTAAATGGCTAAGTCATTAGCACTTCGATTTAGTAAGATATGAGTAAGTCAAATAAAAAACCCGTTGGATATCAATTATGATTGATCCATTACGTGGCTTATTCAAATTCTAACCCAGTGTAACAATTACTATGCTAACCATAAATAAATGCCATTTGAAGAGGAACATTTTTCTTCATAGTCATAGCCCTAGGCCATAAACTCATAGCATTTAATTAATTTTTATGCGAATTGAAATCTGATAATACATTTTTATTCCCTTATTGGTCCAATCTCTTGTGAACAAATAATAAAGAGCAAAATACACCAATAAAATTTCGTAAGAAACCAGGGCCAGCTGACGTGTAAATTTCTGATTGGCCCTCACACGTAGCTCACCCAGCCCAAAAACCAGAAGAAAATTCACTGGGGGTTTCGTCTTCACTGATTAGCACAACAAAACCTCAGAGAGAGAGAGAGAGAGAGAGGGAGAGAGTGAGAGTGTGTAAGAGAGAGAGAGAATGAGAGAGAATCAATTTCGAGCAGTCCCAATCATCTTCTTGTTTTTCTTCGTCTTCAGTGTCTGTGATGCACTATACGGACCATCATCGCCAGTTCTTCAGCTAACTCCTTCCAACTTCAAGTCCAAGGTAAATGTTGAAACTTTACCAGTAATTGCGCGTACCCTTTTCAGATTCTTCAGTTTTTTGCATTAATCTATTGGAATTTGTCACCGTTTGGATTGAAAAGCACTTGGGCGTTGATTGGGTTTTTCAATTAAGAAGCGATTGTTTTGCTGTTGAAAGCAAAGTGCTTTCTTGTATTGCTTTTAGAGTTTTACTGCTTACGGAGATCATTAGTTTTTGGATCTGGTTTATTGCTTCTTGGGGATATTTGTTTCGGAAAAAGTAAGTTAATTTTGCACTTTGTGGAAATTGTTTGATAAATTTGCTGAGTTTAATGTACTTGTTTTTCGTTTCCCAGCATAGAAATGTGATCAGTGAGTTCTGATCCTTATTGGGCTAATTATGATTTCTAGTAAGACAATTTGACTGGTATTTTCTTGAACTGAATCCTGTGGAATGGTGGCAGGTTCTGGACTCAAACAGAGTTGTTCTGGTTGAATTCTTTGCACCGTGGTGCGGACATTGTCAGGCTCTTACACCGATATGGGAGAAAGCGGCTACTGTCTTAAAGGGTGTGGTTGCCGTGGCAGCTCTTGATGCTGATGCACACAAGTCCCTCGCTCAGGTTTCCCATGGTTACCCTTGCAATTACTAATTTTGACTTCTAAGTTTGAAGTAGCAATTGTAGATTAACATCCCTCTGCCTGAAAATATGTGGTCAACCATATTATTGTTTTATAAAACTTCCCCACTGTATGATAGTTTTGCCATATTTGGACAAGGAATATGAGTATTTCAGGTTGTTTACTAATATATTAATTTTGTGTGGGGGTGTTGGTGTGTTTGATTGCTCTATAGGAATATGGGATTAGAGGATTTCCAACAATAAAGGTGTTTGTACCCGGAAAGCCTCCAGTTGACTATCAGGGAGCAAGGGATGTGAAACCCATTGCAGAATTTGCACTCCAACAGGTTCGCCGTAATCTCTTCTTCAAATTCTATTTGTTTTGTTAGTTCGTTTCTTTTCTTGTATATTGGTTAAAGTAGAGTTTGGTAACATTCGTGGATTAAGGTAGTCTTATATTGTTTCTGCTCCACTATGTCTTACCTTGCTCTATTACTTAGTCATGGGATACGTAGATGGTTATAATCATATCTCACTCGGTCATATAATGCTCTTGCATAAAACGGATTCATGTATCAGTAATGTGACCATTCCATTGGCCCTGTACAGATAAAGGCGCTGTTGAAAGACCGCTTAAGTGGAAAAACAACAGGAGGATCAAGCGAAAAATCTGAACCTAGTGCTTCGGTAGAATTAAATTCCCAGAATTTTAATGAACTGGTGCTTAAAAGTAAAGATCTCTGGATTGTGGAGTTCTTTGCACCTTGGTACGTGCTTTTCTTTATGACTATCTTATAAGCTAATTTTAAAATAGTGATCTGTTTGTCTATTATATGAATATGAGATTGTAGAAGATTATGGACTTGTTCCAAATTTCCTTGTTTCAAGGTGTGGGCACTGCAAAAAATTGGCACCTGAGTGGAAGAAGGCCGCTAAAAACTTGCAGGGGAAGGTGAAGTTGGGACACGTTGACTGTGATGCAGAGAAGGTAACTTTGCCTTCCTGACTATGTACTGGATCTACGTGTTTTTATGTCTTGTACTATATGGTTCTAACTTGGTGGCATTACCAGTCTCTGATGAGCAAGTTCAACGTTCAAGGATTTCCGACCATATTGGTATTTGGAGCTGACAAAGACAGCCCACTCCCCTATGAGGGTGCAAGGAGTGCTTCAGCCATTGAATCATTTGCTCTCGAACAATTGGAAACAAACGTTGCACCTCCTGAAGTGACCGAGCTAACTGGCCCAGTAAGTGTTTACTTCCCTCCAATACTTAAGCTGTGTGAGATTGTAAGTAACCTAGGGGACTAAAGCATTGCCGCAATCTTCTCTTGTAGGATGTCATGGAAGAGAAATGTGGTTCAGCTGCCATCTGTTTTGTGGCTTTCCTACCTGATATTTTGGATTCCAAGGCAGAAGGGAGGAACAAGTACATTCAGCAGTTATTATCCGTTGCGGAGAAGTTTAAAAGAAGTCCATACAGGCAAGTTTTTGGAATTATGCGCATATCACCGCCAATGAAACCTTGCGCGTTTGAGAGGTGAATATATAGTTACTGACCATGAATGTACATGTATGTTGCAGCTTTGTGTGGGCAGCAGCTGGTAAGCAGCCAGACCTCGAGAACCGAGTGGGTGTCGGTGGTTATGGATATCCAGCATTGGTGGCCTTAAACGCAAAAAAGGGAGCTTACGCACCACTTAAGAGTGCATTCGAGGTTGATCAGATCACGTAAGTTTTCTATCTCCACCTTATCTCGAACCACTCTTGATCCTTGTGATAATAAAACAAATTAGAACAACTCAATTTTGTTTCACAGAGAATTTGTGAAGGAAGCCGGGCGCGGAGGAAAGGGAAACTTGCCCCTGGAGGGCACCCCGAACATTGTGAAGATCGAACCCTGGGATGGTAAAGACGGAGAGATAATTGAAGAGGACGAGTTCTCCCTTGACGAACTAATGGGAGAAGATACCACTAACAAGGAAGAGTTGTGAGAAATTTAAAGTATCATACTACAGCAGGAGAATTATATCAGGCTAAGATTGATTTTGGGTGCTGGTCATCCCAGTGTTTCTGTGTTTAAACGATGTTTTCAACAACGCACAAGAGCTTTCTTGTGAGCGAGGCTCTCTTTTGTTCTCTTGTTTGTTACCATTACTGTGCGTCATTTCATAGCAATGCAGTGTTTAGGTACAATACTCTTGTTGGTTTCCAGATTGACAAATCACTGGTTTTTGATTGGTGTCCAAGCCATGGATGCCCAATTCATCCGGCGCAGGTGGCATTTTAAAACGAGAAAATATTCAGTAGGGCAGCGTGACCAGAGCCTGGTCACTCTCAAAGAGGATGGGTTCGTCGTGCCGCATACAATGCGGCCCGTTCCTCTGTGAGAGTGCATGAAATGGTTCTCTCTCAAAACATCACGACTAATCAATATTCAGAAATTATGAAGGGCAATATATGGGGAGAGACTCCACTCTTGCATATCATTGAAAATTTGAAATCCAAAATTTTGCAGCTTGTAATTATCCATTGGATTCCAAATCCAGAAGGGAAGAAAAAAAGGGTCAAAATGCATCACATTTTAACTATGTGGTACCTAATCCCTCGTATCGGATCCACAGAGACGCGAATACATGCCTTAGCGTATACGTGTACACTCCTTTTCCCGTCTTCTCTGACCAAAAAAGCAAAGTACATCCCCTTCTACCCAATTCAGAATTTCTTTCGTTGAAGTTCTGGGAAAAATAAGATGCGCTGTTTACCATTCGCCCTTGATCCTCGCTAAGCATTCTTTTCTCAAAGGTGAATCTGCAAATATGGCCTTGATAAAATCCTCTACCTGAAAAATTGGAGGAGCTTGTAAGAACATTGAGACATGAACAGCACATAAAGCTGAACAGAATATATGTGGTCAAGTGAAATCATGCCTCATACTAAGTTACTAACAGAAATGAAATCATACCTCTGACGACGTAAAACCACAATTGCGCAATTCTCCACTTTCCCAAGCCGTTGTGATAGATTTTAAGGGCATATCTAATAATTCTGAAGAATTTGAAACACAATGAGAATTAGGTCACTGTTTGCAAGACATCTACTAGTTCTGTACTGAATCACACTGAACTTTCAGCATCAGACGAAATACATGCCTGCCAATTTACGAATTTTATATAACGAAGGTATGTCATCGTCAAGGGTGCAAGTGATGCCCTCTTGGGACTTCTCTACTTGGAGAGCAGCCAGGGACTCCAGCAAAGAAATTAGGCTCTCCAGCATCAAATGAATCAGACTTTGAAGCTAGGAACATAAATACATCGTTTTAGTTAGACACCAAGCATCAGAAGTACAAAAACTGGATATATGACCAAAGATTATACCTGTAATGTTTCTTCTGCTGCCATATCATCTAAAAGGAGTATGTCTTTTATGACCCTAGAAAAAACCGATTCAAGAATCATACACATGCTTCTCTTGTAAGTTGAAGGCAACAGGATCGGCTCCCATATCAAACGTACTTTGTCCACAATCAAAACAACCTGAACAAGATATGTTTAGCCTTACAGACATACCTCGCAAGAAAAACTAAGGTACTAAAAATAGCTTAACAAATATATCAAATATAATATGATTCATGAAACAAAAGTTCCTCGTTAAAATTCACAGCAGGCCACCTGATCTATACTCCAACTTGCAGATTGAAATTGCTGCCTTTCATGGGTATTCTGAAATCCATCAGCACCATCTAGAGCCTGGTAAAAGACAATTTATTGAAGTTAAATAAGAAACTACAATTCTCTAAACTACATAACTTTCTAGCTCTTATATGAATTGAAACATTTCAGCACAATTATACCTCTCTCAAACTACGAATAACATGTTGAATTTGTCTCTGAAGTACTTCCTCTGCCATAAGATGGAATCTTGGAGCCATATCAACAAACATAGCATGTTCTTTGATGGAACTTGGAAAGTCTGAGCGATACTGGGACAAAAGAGTACAACCGTATGAATTCCACTACTTATTATAACTTCACAAGCAGTATGGATTTAATGAATTCCACTATTAACAGAATAGCAAATCATCATTCTGTTGGGATCGAAGTTAGGTATCATATAAATAGTGAACTGTCATTATTTGGTGCAATATTCGGACATACATTTTTTTTATTGGATAGTGGTACACGATACAAGAGTCATTATAGGTGCAAGCATGCATGTGATCTTGGTGATGGTGGGGAATAGAATCAACAAAATAGATAACATGAGCCGATTATGACTGTTCATCGCCTACCTCAAAAGCAAGCCCCAGTATCTCCTGAGATAGATAAAGGCAATCATTGTGCATAAGAACAGCAACCTGGTTGATTACATCAAGATGCCTTTCTAGCTTCACAAGTCAAGAGAGAAGATTACTTATACTCCATGCAAAAATCACCAATATTGATGAAAAACTGAGGTGAAAATAGGCCAGAAAGTAAACTTGATAGAGATTTGCCAGAGCTGAGATATGATGTTAAGTTAATACATGGAGAAAAATACTGCAACTAAAATATTAAAATGATTTTTGTGGTTCATAAAAAAAGGACATAAAAACATCATCAGAGACCTCTTTTGTATCTTTCATGAATAAACCTTAGAAAGGAACAGAGAGAAGGACGCCGGGGTCTCAAAAAAATTAGTACAATAGACAACATCATGGGACAGACGTAACATCACACCTGCACTTTTTAGATTGTCTTAACAAAGGTGTAAAAACAGTCAGTATCTAAAATTTATAGTACTGGTTTCCTGTTCTAACCTTGACAGGAACCACGACTTCATAGAGAAGTAGAGCATCCCTAGCAGCCTGATAGAACTCCAAAGCAACTCTGGGGGATGACATGCAAACATCCTACACATTCCAATCACAGTTGTAGCCATAAAATATAACAAATGGTAATTTATACGAAGAATCGAGAGGCAAGAAAACTGAAACTCGAGGAAAAATGCATTAATCATGAAAATGAAATCTCAAATGCAAGCACTAATTAGTGCCTTGAGGCTAGCAGGTTGCTCGTCAACTTAAGGTTTCTTTTCTATTTTACTACATCATTAAGGGGAAAAATCAAACATTTATGAGTTTTAACCCAGATACCTTAAGTGTCTGGTGCACTAGATTCATTAGTTCAATCGCTGCTTTGGACACCACACACTTCCCAGACAGGAATAGCAAGTTAACAAGCTCTGGAGATTTGGCAGCATCCAGATCATTCTTGTTATTCCTTGGATACTCCTGTGGGAAAAATATATTGTTCAAAGGCTGGAAATATCAAAATAGCTACAAATGCATTCAAGACAGTTATAGAAGCTTACTTGAGGAGCAGAAAAATCACATTGTAGAAGTAGATTTCTGGCTTTTGCCAAGATCTCTGACTTCTTCCTGGATGCAAAGTGAACCTCGACATTTTCAGCAAAATTGCTCAACTGGTTATCTCTGTTATCAGATGCTGAAATAAACTTCATTTCCCTTAAAGCAGTCTCAAATTCGGAAGTACAACTAATGATCTTAAGAAAGTCAGCAAGTTTTGAAGCATCTTCAGGAACAACCTGAAACAAAAAACATGTCTCCATTACATAGACGTACAAAATGATAAATGGCATGATGCAAGTAGCAATTTTAATGCAGCTAATGAAGAAGTAACTTTGAGTATTCACCGAAAATCCTATACTTGTTTGCTAACATATATTTATAACAGAATTCAAAAAAAAAAAAACAAATAGAAAAGAATGGATGGGTGCGAAGAGATAAAAGGAATAACCTTAGAGAGAAATTTAGAAATAATTAACTCTGAAATCCTTGGCCATGTCAATCTCCCAAAGCATCGAATCCAAGACTCATCTTGAAGGCAGATGTAGTTGCTAATAAACTTGATAACCTGAATAATCCCTGAGTAGATAGTCTCACCATCCATTTTTTCAATCTGAAAATCCAAAGGAAAATGCCAATGCAACACTTATTGGAATCCAATGAGTACAAATTTGTGGAATACCCCTTATTGAATTGATAACTAAAGGAGTCACTCCCGCGAATCAATAATATATGATAATTTAAAGTGAACCCAATTTTTTTTCTCAAACATGTATAAGACAAACCGTTGAACAATAAGACTGTGAAAAATATTTAGACAAGATTGACACGTAAAAACTACCTTAGGATCATTTGATGGTACAATGTTCAGTATCGCCTCAGTCAGAACTTGTGAGTCTCGATTTACTTCAGCTACAAAGGACACAGGAACTCCAAAATTTAGAGCCGAGGAGATGACATGCTTGATCATCAAGTCGCCAACTTTACCAAGACCATAATCCAAAATGCCGACTACCTAGAAATCCCCATAACAAAACCAGATAACTGAATTCTTTACAAACCCCATTGCTCTCATTATTTTAAGCAAAAATTATTTGAATTGCAAATTTCATGTAGTTTTGAGCAATGCATCTACTTGTACTGATTTCAAAGGCAAGGGGAAGGAACAAAAGATATTAACTTCAACTTACATTCAAAGCTTCCAAAACTGTGCGGAGCTCAAACCCATCGTTTCCGTCAATGCTAAGTACATACTTGACACAGATTCTATTCGATTCCCGCTCAAACCGCACCGCATTTCTGATGAACATCACAAGCACTTCTTGAATCTACAAACCCAAACTGAATTCCTCTAAAAAATACAATCACAAACTCAAATAAAAATCACCAATTAAACAACCACAATAGCATTTTTTTTATGAACTAGCTATTTAAATTTCTCTCATTTCCGTTCATTTTCTCGGCAACCAAACAGAAAGTAAGCTTCTTTACCTCCTCAAAGCACTCTGACCACTCCTTCCTCAGCAATCTGTACACCACAGGCTCTCCCTCATCAACCCGATCATCATCCGAAACCCTAAGAGCATTCTTCAGCTCCCTCAGCTCCTGGGCGGCGAACCTCAGCCGTCCATTCCTCAACCCCTCACTGGCGCCCTTCAACCTTTCACTTATTTCCAGAATTGCCCTCACCAACTCCAACAACGCCTTCTTCTCCCTCGCCTCTTTCGTCGTGGCGCTCATCTGCTTCATAATCTGCCCAATCTCCGCCTCAATGGGGCGGTTGGAAATTGAACTCAGAAGCCGGACGACGTCGTCGGAAATTTGGTTGGAGCGCGAAACGGCGTCGTTGCAGACGGAGAAAAGGTTGGCGAAATCCTGGTGGTGAG